TCACCTCTCTGAGCTGCAAACTTCGCTGAGCTTCCTGGTTTACACTTCCCTGCGGCTGACTGTCCTGCAAGGCTGGGTGGGCGGGCTCCAACCCAGTCTCTCTTCGGCAAAGGCAGCCAGGGGGCAGAAGCAGCGGAGAAAGCACAAGGTCACGGCTGGGAGCCGGGCCCGGACCTCTGGGTTTAGATCTGGCCCCTGCCCTGCTCTCAAGCAAACCGATTTTTGTCAAGTTACATCTTCACCTCTGAGCATCCCTCTTCCTGAAAACGGGGAGAATAGTTTCTCTTCAGTGGGGCTGGGACGAGCATGGTTGTACTGATAAGGTACTGGACCCAGCGTCGTGGCCGCGATGCCGGTTTAGCAGTTAGCATGCGGAGGGGCCTCCCGGGAAGCAGGGGGCACGACTGCTGGGGTGGAGCGTCCCTGCCTGGGCCTTCAACGCTGGTCCGTTTGAGCGGCTGCAGGTCCACAACACACCGTCCCACCAGCCTTCGCCCGCTGTTTGCCTCTTCTGCTGCCCCCACCCCCACGCCCGCCCCCTGCAATCGTCGCAGGCCCCTAGGACGGGCACAGACTTCCTTCCTCCAGGAAACCCACTGGCTTTAAACGACCCCACATGCTGCGGATTCAGGGAAATCAAAGATTTCCATTTGGGATGGATGAGAACATCTGGGAGGCAAAGGAGAATAGGTCGAATAACCCAGTAATTAACATCCCTCCCACCCCACCCCTGCCACACATAAAGCCACATTCTGGAAGGAGGAAGACTCAAAAAATACAGCGGAGGGCACAGGGTCATGGGAGAGGAGAAATCAGCAGGGCTGGGGAGAGGGGGGTGGTTGCTGGGGCTGAAGCCAGGAAGCCTCGGGCTCACACTGCTGCCATGACGTACTGTGACCTTCGGCAAGTCACTGCAGCCTACGAGCGGATTTCCTCATCTGAACATGGACAGGAGGATTTCTGCCTCGCAGAGGGTAGGCTCCACGGACAGGGAACAACATTCCATCCACCGGTGCCGGAAGGACCCGAGGGAGAGAGCTCATCGGGCTCGCCTGTTCCCAGGCTCTCCGGGCCACCAGAGGCTCGCAGAATACTGGAGGGGTTGCTTTCAATGGGGGCCAGTCCGATGACCTCAGAGGCTGCTCCAGGTTTAAAACAATACATAACCAATGGAATTTGAAATTTCCATTTCAAATGGAATTAGATGGAAAGTTGGCTGCCCCTTGGCCTGAAATAGCCAGATAACCATGCAAGCCTCTCCCAGATCCATCCTGATGGAAAGTCTCTGGCTTCCATGGTGGACCCCATATTCCCCAACAGCTTGCCTTGTAGGGTTTATCGTGTCAAGGTGAGTGAACAGGCACTGAGAGCTACCAACTTTCATGAAAGGAAACAAAACAGATGCTGGGACCAACACCATAGTCGTGGTCAGCTTTCCACTGCAGCATTTCTCTGGCTAGAATTTTGTGATGGAGACCATCTCCCATGTGGTGGAAATCCTGAGGACGGCCCTGGAGCCAGGACCACTCACCTGGACCCTGAAGTGGTCGGTGAGTAACCATGACGGCTGCTGCAGGGGCCTGCATCTCCCTGAGCCTCCTGGTGGGCGCTGTGAAGAGGGGAGGGTTGCAGCTTCCCCTGGCTTCTTGAGGGCAAGATGAGAAGACGGAGGTTCACTGCTTAGACCTGGGTCTGCTCACAGCACAGCAGTATCAGCGCTGACAGCTGCATAACAGAAGTGCACACATAGCACTCGGTCTGAGCAGGGCCCAAGAGCTTTCAGTGTATTCACATGTAACCTCTGGGAACTTCCCTGGTGGTCCAGAGCTGACTCTGCACTCCAAACGCAGAGGGCTCAGGTTCGAGCCTTGGTCAGTGAACTGGACCCCACAAGTCACAGCCGCAGATCCTGCCTGCCACAACGAAGATCACAGATACCATGTGCTGCAATAAGGCCTAGCGCAGCCAAATAAGCACAGAAATACGTATTTTTTAAAGTTATGATTTAAAAAATGTAACATTCATGATGTTCCAAGATGTGCAGGCTGGGTGCCTATAGGTAGGTGGGGGTGGGTTGGGGGTAGCGGGGTTGAGGAGGAGAAAGAACTGAAATGCTAAAGGTCCATGGTTTGTTAAGCCGAGAAAAGTGATGCACATTACTTATCTGAAGTGAATCTGAATGTAGAAGTTGCGTGACTTGTGTTATCTGTACCCGCCGCCGCCCCCCGGCTCCCAAAGCACAGCCAACTCAAGTTCTGATTTCATCCCATCAGAAGAGTCATGGACAACTCACAAAACGGCCTGATGTCAGATGTTTGGGATCAACTGAGAATATGTTTATTTAAAAGCAATTTTAAATATTAAAAAAAGTAGAAATGAACACATACAGTACTGAAAAACAGTCACATTAAATACATGTGAAATGACGAATGTACTGATGTCTGAGCATAACATCCAGATGGGAATTCGGAATTTAACTTGTGGCGCTGTGGGATCCCTATACAACATGTTGAAGTTCTAGGCAATAAAAAAATAAATAGCAATTGCTGTTCAACAGTAAAATAAGACACACACTATTTGCAGAACATAACTTTCCCCACTGCGGGGGGGGCAAAGAAGAATTAGCTATTTTTCCCATAAGGTTCCATACCTTCAAAATACTCTCTATCATGTACAAAATTGCAGATAGCGGCTCACTGAGTTTAAGAACAATACCAGATTCAAACTCAACCAAGGTCGCCAAAGATACTTATTTATATCTATTTTTCCTATGTCCCACAGTAAGCTGGGTTAGAGAAAACTCAGGTTCCTGATGGAAAACAAAAACAAAACCAGGAAAAAAAAAAACAACAAGTGTTTTTTTTTTTTAAAAAAAAAAAAGCATCTGTGTAAAAGTTTCTCTAAAAGAGGAAAAAAGAAAAGGAATTAACTCCATGTAATTTTAGACAGCGTGCTTTCGTGTTTTTAAAAAGCCAGTTTGAGATCAGTTGAAAACACCGTAGGCCACAAAAATGAACAGTGCTTAAATGCAACTTACGTGTAAGTGAATGAACAGGGACATTAAATAACTTGGGGCGGTGACTTCCTGTCCTGACACCCGGTGGCTAAACTGAGGCTGCCAGCACTGTCGGCCACACACACCAGCACATCGGCTGGTTCCTCGCATCTGTGTGGAGCTGATGTGTGCCGCGATGCTGAGGAAGCAATTGCTTAAAATCACCTTCCGATGACAGCTGGTGAGATACGTTGCAGGTTTGTCATGCATGGTTTATTGGTTAGGTGGCTATTCATAGTTTTCATAGTGATCACGTAAGCAGAGCTAAATTACCACTCGCCGAACACTGCGACTTGATTAAAGAGGGCTTTCCCTAAGGGTTTGGTTGGGAGTTGTGCTTCTGTGAAATGAACATTTCTCACTCGTTGCCAGGATGATCTGCTTAAAAATATTAGTTTCCTGTGCCGCTGCCAACGTAGCAGTTTAAGCAAGCGCACTGCCAGGATGACACACGGGGCTCGGAATCCGAGAGCAGTCCCGCTGACTGGGGAGTGGAGCTGTTGTATTCTTTCCCCAGATTCAGGCTGACAGAAAAGACTGAAAAGCTCAGGATGGTCTTAATGGTCTGATGAACGCGGCTGGGATGAGGAAAAAAACCAGGAGGGGCAGGGACCCCTGGCAGAAAAGCATATTTCACAGTGCGATTCACAGCAGTGTTCAGAAACTTGGTTATGAGTTGACCTGAAGATGACGTGTCTGTTCAACAGAGCTGGGAAACTTATCTACAACTGGGGTTTAGTAAAGAAAATGGGGGAGAGAAAAAAAAAAAGAAGGCTGGTTTCAGCACCTGAATTCTACAGGGGGGTGGGCGGGAGAAAACAGTGGGCAGAACTGATTTCTGAATTCATCATCTTCTTGAACACTCTTTTGAAAGTTTAAATTTATCCAGAACGAAAACTAAGAAAAGAATTTAAAATGGACATGTTAGGGGTGTTAACATAGTTGAAGGATGCTAATTCATAATGTGATATGTGCATTCATACTCTTGAGGAAGCCAAATGACTGACTGGAAACAAATATTTGTTGCAACCTTATAATTTCTGCTTTAATGGCAATCAAGTTTAAAAAAAAATGTACAGTTCAACTTATCCATACTATTCCTTTATAAAAGGCAGATTTCAGGTAAGCTTCTAAATGCATGCATAATGTAGAGGCTAATATTTTCTGGCAGTCCTTGGTTCCTGAAAGTTGAACTTCATCAGATGTGTCTTAAACTTCTGTGAAAATAGTCATGAAGGATATGTTATTTTTGCATAATGAGGTAATATCAGGGGCGGGCACTCATCTTCTTAAGACAGCATAAACCCACGTGTCTAAACCTGCGTGAGGCTGTGGGCATTGCAAAACGCCACCCAACGTTCTGGGTCAGTGGATATTTTGCTGAAGGAATAACACTTACACTGAACTGAGCACTTTTCTGTAATAAATACCAAAGTTGGTTCCTGTAGCTGTAAACTGTGTACACAGGTAACAACAGGCTGGTCTGTCACCGAGTGGAAAGATTCACCTGGAAGACAGTACCCACCTCTTCGCTAATGTTGCATTTTTCAGTAACACAGTGGAGAATACTGTCAGGTTAGGAACAGAGAGGCAATTCTATGCCCTTCAACGGTTGCTGGAGACCATTTCTATTTGCAAAGCCAGCAGTTCCTATATTCCTGCTTGCTTGTTTGCTTGGAAAACAGCGTAGAGAGAGATGTAAGTGCTAGATGCCAAGGGTGGCTTTGGCAAACCAGTAAGGCGCACCGGGTCCCGAGGCTACCCTAATACCGGCAAAGGCAGAGACCATAGGGTATTTACAACACGCGCTCCATTCCCCTCCCGAGGCGGCCCCTCCGGGAGCTCCCACTCGGGAACAGCAGCTATTTACACGGCGTGCACGGGGTCCCGGGAGGCAGCGGCCTAGCGTGAGGGGTGCGGACAGTCTGAAGGCTCTGCTCTTTCGCTAGTCGGACAGGATGTGGACGAAGGACACTGGGAAGACGCCCTTCCTTTCGGGCTGCCCCTCGATGTGCCCAATCTGCAGGGAGAAAGCAGAGGCGTCAGGCGGGGGGCGGCCGGTGGGTCTGAGCGCCCCGGGGCTGATGCTGACGCAGGCGGGATGCAGGCCCCGGGGAGACACACTGTAGGCGCCACACACGGCGGAACCGCTTTCACGGGGGTCGCTTTGCCGGCAGGCAGCCCCGGGAGGCAGACAGTCCTGGGGCCCTCACTTTCTACATGAAGGGACAGGGGCCCCAAGTTGTGGTGGGGCCTGCCATGGTCTCACCGGGGCTGCGGCCTCAACCATGCTCTCAACCAGGCCGCTCGGCCACCTCTCCCGCTGGGCAACCTCTCAAAGCGTGCTAAGCCTCCTGTCTGCAAAACCGGGCTGAAAAAGTCCTGCTTCTCAGGCCTGTGGGGAAGCTACACCAACAATTCTCTACATAAGAAGGGCTGCTAGGCACCAAGAACTTGCTTTCTGATTGCGGTGGAGGAGAGGATGGTGTGAAAGTCTGACAGTGATGAGTGCAAATTTTACAGCTGTTTTCTTGTCTCCTGCCTAAACTCGTCAGCCACTGTGGCCTGCCAAGGCTCCCAGTAATCTGAATTACATGAGAATTAATTGCATCGAAGAGAACCCTATCGGGAAGAAGACCAGTGACACGCACGCTGGCTTCGAATGGCCATCCCAGAGAAAGATGCGTGGCCTCCTTTGCTCACCGGCCTCTGTGCACCGGTTTCCATCTGACAGAGGGGTGAACAGCAAGGCCGGGATGACCCACGTCACTGGGTCTCAGTCGGCATCGTGCACGTGAGTCCTCAGACGTTCCTGTGAGGGAGGGTGACCCGTGCCTCCCTTTTCAGAGGGGGAAACTGAGGCTCACAGAAGGGACAAGCTGCACCCTGGGCCACAGGGTGAATCACACCAGGATTTCAGCGCCTATCTCCTTGTCAAGGGATCTAACCCGCCAGACTTCACGACAGACAGAGAGAGGAAGGGGGCCTCTGGCTTGTCAACCCCACTGCTCCTGACATTTGGGGCAGGGGTTCTTTGTGGCGGGGGCTCCTCCACACGTCACAGGACGTTCAGCAGAGGCCTTGGCTCCCCCTAACCCAGAGGCCAGCAGCACCCACCCTGGCCAGGCCCTGATGATCAGAATGTTTCCAGATGTTTCCACACGTGCCTGGAGGGCGAGACTGCCCCGGGTGAACCACTGCTGTGGCCCAAGAAGCGTCCCGACAGCTGTGACCGCGAGTCTGGAGTCACGGTCTGGGCCCCGGGGAGGAAAGGCGAAGGGCCACGAGTGTGCCCGTGTGTGTGTGTGTTTCTGGGCATTAGTAGGCCCTGGGCTCAGCGGTGAACACAGGTCCCTTTCTCGGCACACAGGGCCGGGCCCTCTGGGCAGGACGGGGCTCTAGCTGCCCAGGAAGCCGAATTTCCATGCCGGGGGTGGGGAGTGATTGACTCGGAGGTGTCCGCCCGCTGCCCCTCTGTCCGGCAGGGGCCGCCGGAGGCTTTCTCCCCTGACAGCCTGGACAGCTGTGGACATGTCGGGTCCCCTGCAGCCACCCAGGACCCGGGCAGCTCCCAGGCAGTGGTGGGAGGACAGGACTGCCTCTCCTTCCTGACACCTGGGCAGCAGGTTTTTAGTGGAAAAGGAGCTGTCACAGACGGTCTCCTCGAATCCTCCCCTGAAGTCATGTGAGGCTGGTATCCTCCTGACAGAGAACTGCAGGCTGGATGAAGATGGAACCCGAGGATGTGTGGTGGGGATGTGTGTGCATGCATGTATGTGTGTGTGTGTGTGTGTGTGGTGGTGGTGGTGTTGAAGGGCAAGGCCTGAGCAGAGCTGGCTGGGCCAGTGTTGAATGAGCTTCAGTTTTGCATCTGAAAAGCCAGAAAGTACCTGTGGCCCACAGGCTGCCGTGTGACAAGGGTAGCTTCCTGAGCCGGTTTCAAAGCTCCCGGCTAGAAGGCAGGCAGGGCACTGTGTCCTCGTGGCGCGTGTGCGGGCTGCCCACGGACAGCGCCACGCGGCTGGTACATACCCACCACTCCTGGTCCTCCTCCCCGGTGACCACGATCACCTCGCCCTCCATGAAGGTCAGCTCATCATCGTTGTCCGCCTGGCAGTCGTAGATGGTCTTCACTCGCCTCACCTTGCTCTTCCCCTTCAAGAAAGCAGCGGGGTTTTAGCTCACAGGACAGACTGAAGGGAAAGGAGGACAGGCTGACCCCAGGCAAGTGGCTTCACCTCGCCGAGCCTCAGTTTCTCCCTGATGAAAGTGGGGAGCGCCCCCAGCCCTGGGTGCTCTCCAGACGGGAGGGCCCCCCTCCGCCCAGGGCAGCAGGGGAGCCCAGTGAGAGTGGGGAGGGGCGGGTAACCACCGATGACTTCCATCTGAGAGCAAACATCACGGGTAAGGGATCAAAATCCAGCTTCACCAGAAACAAGCGAAGTGCCCGACCCCGCCCCGCCCCACGGCAGCCTGCACAGATGACAGCAGAATCTAAAAATGGTTTGGGGAAACATGACGTAAAGCAGACCAAACACATGCAGCATAAACACATTTCTGAGCCCCTCGTGCAAAGCGCCGTGTCAGCATACACTGCTTAAACAGAACAGGGGAGCCCGGGGCGGGGGCGGGGGCCTCCAGGCGGCTCCCCGCAACGCTTTAGTTTTTGACCCATGTTGATTCGAGCTTTCAGCTGTTAGATTTCCAGTTCTCTGCAGACAGGAAGATGGAAAGAGAGAACTGACCTTCCAAAGGATGTTTCTGGCGCCTGGCTTATTAAATAATTAGGAATAAAAAAAAGCAAGCCGTCACGCTCAAAGCTTGGGGTCAAGTGCTTTTCTTCTTGGGCCAGTAGTTTCTCCCTCAATCTCCCTGTTGACCTACTTGCTTCTACAACCCCCTCCCCGGGCTGAGCCAGAGCTGGTGGGGCCTGAGAAGCCGGGGGCTATGGCCAGTCGAGATCTCAAGTCTTTTCAGCTCTGACTCTGCGAGCAAACTGGAAGACCTGTGTGTGACCATTCATAACAGGGAGGGTTAAATGAGATAATGAAACAGTGACGAGTGCAGTAGCCCAGGCTGGAACTGTGTACATCAAGGCCACGGGTGCTGCTCAGGCTTCTCAGAGCCTGGAGAGGGGCAAGCCGCAGCCGCTGCACCTGCTTGTGAGCTCCCACCCGGGAGAGGCTCGGTTTCACCATTCTCTCCTTTCCTTTAGTACTGAAGGGGCACACTTTTATCACAATGCTGCTTTATCATGGGAAGACGTGAGCAAGGCTTTTGGTCCCCCCGCTAACTGTGTTCCTTAAACCGGGGTGCTCCCATCCCTGTGGGGGTGTGGCGTGGGCAGGACAGACAACACATGTGCATCTTCCCAGGGCTTCATTTTTCCAAAAAAATATTTTTTGGAGGGGTGGGGAGAGAAAGGCATGTTTAAAGTAAAAAGGACATATAGAGTAGAAGGCATGTTGTGAAAATGAAGGACTGGGCGACTTCAAACCAAGCTAGGTTGGTTGGTACGAGTCTCTTTGGGCCATGTGCCCAACTCCTCCAGGAAGGTAGAGAGAAGCTGAGGTCTGAGACCGCTTCCCTGGGACCCTGGGAAAGGAACGTCTCCTGGTTACAGGATCACAGACAAGAGCGACCACTTGCTGGGCGCTGCTCCTACTTCCCTGCATTTCATTGCCCATGAACCCAGGCAGTGTTCTGGCCCCTTTCTATGAAGGAGACCGAGGTTCAGGGCAGGCGAGGAGCTGGCCACGGCCCCGTGGTCACAGGGCAGGCAGGTCCTGACGCCTGTCTGCTGGGGTCCACAGCCCGGTCTCAACCCCCCGGGCCCTGTGCCCCCCACGACACTGGACCCCAGGCCGGCCAGGTGGGCACGTGCCTGGGTTTCCGAGCACCACTCACCGTGTTGATCTTCCTGGGCAGCGGCACGGGTGTCTCTGGCAGGGTGGGCGTGAGGTCATTGGTGTCCTCAGACACCTGCTTGGGGACGTTCGGGGACAGGTCCGCCGGGTGTGACTTGGGGGCGAGCTCTGGGGGTGGCTGGGCCTTGGGCGAGGCGTCTCCCGTCTGGGGTTTCGCCAGCAGCTCCCCCAGTTGTGGCTTGGGAGGCAGGTCCTTCACCTGGGGCTTGGGGGGCAAGTCTGCGAGCTGGGGCTTGGGGGGCAGGTCGCCCAGCTGCGGCTTGGGGGGCAGCTCGCCTGGCTTAGGTGGCAAGTCTCCGATGGGGGGTTTGGGAGCCAGTTCCATGGGCTTTGGGGGCAGGTCCCCGGGTGGCGGCTTCTGTGGTAACTCTGCCAACTGGGACGACTTCTGGAAGATCTCAGGCGGGATGTTGGCTTTGTCAAGGGAGAGATGATGGCTGGTATCTGTTTTCCTTAGTGCCACTGCGGGAGGCGACCACAGAGAGGGGTCATGAGCAGAACTGACCCTGAGCGAGCGCCCCAGGCAGTTGCAGGCCCAGACCCCACATGAATTGGCCTGCGTTTTTTTTTTTTTTGGCCTGCTTTTAAAAAAAGGTGAAAGTTGGAAGCCTGGAGGCATCCACCTTACAATGGACGATCTTATGCCTCAGTTATATAAGAATAGGACATCCAAACGAACCCAGAAGTAAAAAAAACAAAACCAAAAAACCACAACTATACACATAATAGATCCTCTGCAGAAGGGAATGGCAACCCACTCTAGTATTGTTGCCTCGAAAATTCCATGGACAGAGGATCCTGGTGGGCTACAGTCCACAGGGTCGCAAAGAGTTAAGACATGATTGAGTGACTAGTACTCTCACTTTTTCATACACATAATACAGATTATAGAAAACTGAAAGGTGTGGAGTTAAAAGGAGAAGTTTCCCATAAGTCTACTGAGTAAATGTAGCCATTTAAAATACTTTGGTATAATTTCCTTCTGGACTTTTCTATGTATTTTTCATAGATAAAACATCTATCTGCTCTTATCTATATACTGTTTTAGCAAGAGTATTCACCATGATAATAAAAATTGTTCATTAGTACTAAGCATATACTTTTAATGCTGCATCCTATTCCATTCTATAGTGGTATCATTCTAATTTCTCACGTTTTATATGATGTACATACTGTGTAAGAGGGAAAAAGTTTCTCCTCTCACCACTCCCACCTACCACCCCTTTGAGGTCAACTCTGTTCCTTTTTAGTGGTGCCCATGCATGTATATACGAATTATCTTTAAAAACCTGGGACTACAACAAATACATTAAATGGGACTACAACACATACATTGCCTGCAACTTTGTTTCCCATATAATATATTCGGGAGAATTTCTGTTAACATGGGACTACAATACATACATTGGAGAAGGAAATGGCAACCCACTCAAGTATTCTTGCTTGCTACAGTCCATGGGGTCGCAGAGTCGGATATGCCTGAACGACTCACACTCACTCACTCATGCACACACACAACATACGTCTACAACTTTGGTTTTTTCCCATTTAAAATGCTTGGGAGAATTTCTATCGATGAGTCAGTTCCTCCTCCTCCTCTTTAACGGCTGTGTAGGACTCCATCGCTTGGAGATTCTGCGGTCTGAACCTTCGCACAGCTCTAACCAGTGGAACTTAGGACACGTCTCCAAGTTGGGCTCCACCACTCAGTTCCTAGCTGTGTGACCCTGAGCAGGTTACCAACCCCCTCACCCTCCTCATCTCTAAAACACGAGCGACATGAGGAACATGCCAACAGGACGAGGTAGACTCTAGGTACAATATCAGAATATCATGGCGCATTATCACTGTTGCTGAGACAAAGTTCCTTGAGGCCTAGATTCACCAAGCGCATCGTATGTGCTCAGCGAGGACACGGCTGACTGAAGTAGCCAAACTGAGAACTGTATTCTAAAGACACAACACTCGGAGAGAGACTCCTAAAATTTTTTTTTAAAAAGAAAAGACAAATCCCAGTACTGCAAACTGTCACGAGCTACACTGCAGCTGTTCCTGCTCTGGGCCTGCCCAGCCACGTCCCTTCCTAAGGAACTCAAATTCAAGGGCATCCTGCTCCCGGGGTGGCCGGTGAGCTTCAGCTGATGTGGCACAGTTCAGAAAGTGACAGCAGGCCCATCGGATTCCTCTCTTGGAAGTCAAGACACTGGGGTAAACAAAAGTCTGAGTCAGGGGGTGATGGGGGAACAGCTGGGGGAATCCCCTGAGATAGCGGGGCTGAAAAGCCTAGCTCTGAGCCATACTTACAGGGAACAGAAACTATGAGGAAGTGCTGGGCTGCCCAAACAGGCAACTCTGGTTCTAGGAATTTATCCAAAAAAGAGATCAAAGCCAGGGCACGTGCCTGTGCCAGGGTGTTCAGCATGACGCTGTTTATAGTGAAAGAAAACTGTGAACTGGGTGGACATGGAAGAGGACAGACTACTTAACACGGCCAGCTATCAGATAACAGAGTACTATGCAGCCAGTAAGAGTATAATTAATCTCATGGAAAGGGCTCTTGATTCACTGTACGATAAAAACCAGCTTAAACAGTGACATAAAAAAATCATAGGAAAAAGACTGAAAGGGCTGACTAAGTTGCTTTATCCTGGGTGGCGAGACTTTGGGCGGTTTGTATTTTCATTACACTTCTTTGCATTTTTAATATCTACAATGAATATAGGTTAATTTTATACTACGAAGAAATATGAAAAGAGACACTCTCCCCTCTAAAGAAGTCACTCCTCTGACTATTTTATTTCCAAGATGATTTTGTTTTCCCCTCTCTAATTCAAAGTCCTTTGTGAGCTTCATTCTTTTTTTAAAAAAATATTTATTTATTTATTTATTTGGCTGTGCCAGGTCTTAAGTTTCATCATTTGACCTTAGTTGTGGCATTTGAGATTTTCCCTGACCCAAGGATCGAACTTGGGCCCTCTGCATTAGGAATGCGAAGCCTTAGCCATGGGACTACTAGCGAAGTGCCTAAGCTACATTCTTTTTTTCCCCCATTTATTTTTATTCGTTGGAGGCTAATTACTTTACAACATTGTAGTGGTTATTGCCATACATTGACATGAATCAGCCATGGATTTACATGTGTTCCCCATCCTGATCCCCGCTCCCGCCTCCCTCTCCATCCCATCCCTCTGGGTCTTCCCAGCGCACCAGCCCTGAGCGCCCTGTCTCATGCATCCAACCTGGGCTGCTGATCTGTTTCACACTTGATAGTATACTTGTTTCAATGCTGTTCTCTCTGAACATCCCACCCTCGCCTTCCCCCACAGAGTCCAAAAGTCTGTTCTGTCCATCTGTGTCTCTTTTTCTGTTTTGCATATAGGGTTATCGTTACCATCTTTTTAAATTCCATATATATGCATTAGTATACTAAGCTACATTCTTAACTCTGATGGGCAGAGAAGCAAATTTCCCCTCAAGTTGGACAACACAGACCACGCTGCTCGAGTGAGGACATCAAGAACAAGAGAGGAGTGAGAATTCTACCCCATCCCCGGAACTTCCTTGGTGGTCCAGTGGTTAAGACTCCACACTTCCACTGCAGGGGGTGTGGGTTTGATCCCTGGTCGGGGAACTAGAATCCCGCATGCTGCATGGCACGGTCGAAAAATAAGAAAGAGACCCAGGGGGTTATGGCGCAGCTGGTTCATGCTGGCAAGGTTGGTTGGAAACAAACAGATTCGGCCCTTTGAACAGCAGCGTGACAGAGAGCTCAGGTGCTGAAACACTGCCCTGGGCTGTGACGGTTCTGTTTCTGAGAACAGGCTCTAAGGACATAACTGAGAAAGAGGAGGAAGATGAAGAAAGAGCCCGCATGCTCTCAGCTCATGTTTCCAACAAAAGGGGGCGCCAAGCAGAGGATGGCAGCGGCTCGATGGCAGAATCCTAAGTGGAAAAACCCAGGATGCAGGGCTGGACTTTCACTGTGATGACAACTAGGGAAGAATGTAAGGGACCAAGGCCTGCATCACAGCCCAACACTACCGTGACTCTGTCCATATTGGAGAGCCCCTGAAGTTTCTATACGACTGCCTTTTAAAACTCTTTAAGCAAATGGCTCCACGCAGCAGTCCATCGCAGCTGAGACAGCTTTCACTAAGCCCTTTACAAGGAGCCCAAAGGATTCCCTGGTGCCTCAGACTGCAAAGAATCCACCTGCAAAGCAGGAGACCCAGGTTTGATCCCTGGGCTGGGCAGATCCCCTGGAGAAAGGAACGGCAACCCACTCCAGAATTTTCGCCTGGAGAGTCCCATGGACAGAGGAGCCTAGAGGGCTACAGTCCATGCGGTCGCAAAGAGTTGGACATGACCGAGCAACTAACACTTTCAAAGGATTTAAAAAATAAGTGATGTTTGGGAGGGAAAAAGAGTGAGGTGTGGTCAGGACAGTCCATGCGGAAGTGCCAGCGGGCGGTGGGGGTGAGGATGGGTGGGCGGGAGAAGGAGCTGCAGCCTGTCCCTCTCAGCGTCACAGACACCCTGTGCCTCTGGGACTCTGCCTGCTTTCTGGGTGAGACGGATGCACTGGGTGGGTGGGGCAGGAGCCACTGATAGAACCCAGAGCACCCTGGCTCTTCTGCTGGGGAAAGACTGCAGGGCCAGGGTGGACGCAGGAAGACCAGGGAGGAGGCCAGAGTCCAGACAGGAGAGGACGGTCCGGGAGACCACAGTGAGAGGGGAGACACAGGAGGATACAACCAACGGGGAACCAACAGTGTGTGTGAATGGATGAGCGGCATGGGAGGAAGGAGCTGGGCTTCTTTCCTAGGTTTAGGATCCAATCACTTGGACTTGGACAATATCGCCTGTAATAGACGCTGGGCGAGGAACAGGTTTGGCTGGAGGGTGTGTGTGTGTGTGTCTGTGTGTCTGTGTGTACCTGGACGATATCGCTTTAACAGACAGGGACACTGGGCGAGGAACAGGTTTGGCTGGAGGGTGTGTGTGTGTGTGTGTGTGTGTGTGTGTGTGTGTGTACCTGGACGATATCGCTGTAACAGACAGGGACGCTGGGCGAGGAACAGGTTTGGCTGGAGGGTGTGTGTGTGTGTCTGTGTGTACCTGGACGATATCGCTGTAACAGACAGGGACGCTGGGCGAGGAGCAGGTTTGGCTGGAGGGTGTGAGGGTGCGTGCATGCGTGTGAAGGGCCTTCAGAATCTCAGGTTGAGCAGCTGTCAGGCGTCTGAGCAGACACTCCGGTGGCAGGTGTGCAGGAGCTTAGCCGCCGGAGGGACGCTTGGCTGGGCGTACGATGTGGAGGTGCCGAGGCGGGCGCCCCGGAGAGTGAGGGTGGACTCAGGAGAGAAGTGGCCGCGCCCGAGCCGGCCTCTGCAGGCTGAGGACGCGAGGGGCCTGCACACGAGGGGGGGTCTGTCAGCGCCGTGAGAACAGGACGGTGTCCACAGGCCAAGTGGGAGCCGTGAGCTTGACACAGGGAGGGGCAGTCGGGCGGCTTGTTCCTCTCGACAGAAGAGCGCACTGCTGCCTGGGAAGGGTTTTGCCAAAGCCTGAACCAGCAGCATCTGATCGGGTCTCTTGATCCAACTTTCAATTGATAGGAAATATTAGAGGACAGAGGAACATGTTAAATGACCACGAAGGGGTGCCGATCAGCAAAATCCAGCCTTTCTGAAGTATGATCTCACCCCGTCCTCATAAAACCTGGTGGAGTATGTGTCCTGGCCCCGTTGACAGGTGAGGAATCTCAGGCTCAGTGAAGCTTCTGAGTCCCCTGCCCAGGCCTCACAGCTAGTAAGCAGGAGAGCCAGGACCAGTTCTGAGGTCTCTCTGATTTTGTTCGCAAGAGAAGAAATGGTACCTGGGGATCCTAATGAGGGATCTTCTGAAAAAGCATTGCTTTTTCAGGAAAAGTTTGGTGTTTGTTAATTACAAAACTTGAGCTTATAAGTGTTTTTCTTCACTGAACAAATATTAATTACATATCTCTTACATGTCAGCTGCTGCTCAAGGCCATCTGAGATAGAGCAGGGGTCAAAAGAGACAAACACCCCCGATCCCTTGGAGGATACAGTGACAGTATACTGCTGCTACTGCTGCTAAGTCACTTCAGTCATGTCCGATTCTGTGCAACCCCATCCCTGGGATTCTCCAGGCAAGAACACTGCAGTAGGTTGCCATTTCCTTCTCCAATGCATAAAAGTGAAAAGTGAAAGTCAAGTCGCTCAGTCATGTCCAACTCTTCTCAACCCCATGGACTGCAGCCTACCAGGCTCCTCCGTCCATGGGATTTTCCAGGCAAGAGTACTGGAGCGGGGTGCCATTGCCTTCTCCGACAGTGCCAGTATAATTACATGTAAATATGAAAGAGAGGATGAGATGGTTAGATAGCATCACTGACTAAATGGACAAGAATTTGAGCAAACTCCAGTAGATATCTAGTGAAGGACAGGGAAGCCTGGTGAGCTACTGTCTCTGGGGTCGCAAAGAGTCGGACAACAAACAGCATGAAAAAGAGAAATCTTACCTTTCTGAGGTAGTTTAGGAAGAACTCTTGGGCCAAGGGCAGTCTTTGCAGAACCGGTGCTAATGAATAAATAAGAATCATTTATGATCTCAGAACGCTATAAAATCAGTAGTGAAATAGCATTCAAGGAAATCACAGAAATTCACAGAATTATCTAAAAATGCTTTCAATATTTCCCTAACAAAAGATTATAGTCCACTTGCCCAGATTTGAAGTTTGCCTGCCTTTCCCTGAGGATTATCTTTTTATTCCAAAGTCTGCAGAATGGAGTCCAGAAGGAAAGTAACAAAACCATCACCAACCCTCTGAGTGAAAAAGCCTAATCCCTCCTCTTCTTGACACCTTTCCCCGAAGGAACAGCTGATGAAAGCACTGGGCACACTACAGGTCCTGGGCCAAGTACGCTGCTCTGAGGCAGCTCTTCTCATGCGACCCCACGATGTTATGCTTGTCATCCCCACCTGTAGCAGAGGAAACCAGAGCCCGGGCACCTCCAGTGACCTGTGGAAGCTTCCGGGTCTGACCAGCAACGGAGCTGGACATTCAGGCCCAGCTCCATTGGACTCCAGAGTCCTCACTTTTTCCTTGCACCAGAGCAAATGGCGTGGGTCTCAGGCCTTCAGGTTTTCCCTGAGTTGTTCCTCCTCTTGAACAATTTGTAAATGAGCAGAGGATCCGGGCAGCAGGCCCCAGGCATAGAAGCTGCCCCATGTCATCTGGTATCAGGGACTCCCCACGTCCCTGCCACCACCAAGATGCCAGCACTGCAGGCGAAAACTCTCAGTGGGAATCCGCTCTTTCCCTTTAACAAGAGGCTGTGACTGTGTTCAGGGACCCCCGGGGGCCCTGAGGACCCAAACAGCACAGCATCCCAGTGCCAGACTTGTATCTGCCAAGAGCCCCTTCTATCACCTCATTTATCGTCTGCTGTTCTCTGGTGGCCTAAGAACTGCCTCCACCCCTCTTCTCTCTTAACTGCATTTAAAAAGACAGGAAAAGCCAAACCAACCAAAAAGAAAACAGAGTCCAATAAAGAAGATGAAATGCATGTGTCTTTCATCCTGGCCCAATAAATCACTCCTGGTCTTCGGGGCTCTTTCCTTGGTTCCCTCAAAATTCTAAGGCCTCTGGGCTACTTGAGGCTAAGACTGGTGAGATCAAGCCACCCCTGAACCAGAAGCGTTTTGCCTTGAACACATCTGGCACGTGTTTTGGCCTCAGCATCTTCACAGGGACGCATATCTGCCCATCACAGACACGAATGCGATGCCTTCCTGGCCTGGGTACGGAGGCTAAGCCGGACACTTGGAAGCGCCTCACACAGGAGCCCTGGGGTGAACCTGGGCTTCTTTGCATGTTGCAGGTGGTGCTATGTGCACATGTATGTAAGCATGTGTGTACATGTCAGGGCTCGATTTCCTGTAAAAACCATCAGTGGGCACTTCCCCCACGTCAGACTCCCTCCCCTGGAAGACCCCCACCGGCCCTGGGGTTGAGAGCCCCCAGGGCAGTGTGTGTGGAGGGCGCTGAGCACGAGGGGCAGGCAGAGTGTTGACTGTGGTGCCTGAGAACCCCCTGGATTGAGTCCCAGGGCCCCGCGTCCTCATCTGCAAACCTGAGGGCAGCAGACTGGGCTACCTCACGGGCTCGTAAAGACAAAAACAAGGCGGAGGCATTAGAAGAAATGAGGATTTCGGCTTTCAGCTTTGAAAAACTTTGAAAGGCACTCCCCCACGAACCAGCTGACTCCTCCTGCCTGAGCTTTTGGGTCAGGAAGCGGCTCCCTGTGTCCTTATCTGGGATCAAGTCTCTGGGGAAAAGCCTCTGTGCTGGGACTGGGTGTACACTGTCCATAGAAACTCTTCCGAAGCATCTCATTTTGGTGAGAGGAGAGGGGAAAGGGACGCCTCTCCATTAGCCTAGCTTAAGGAACTCTTAGAAACAGGAGACTTGGAAGGAGTTCTATTTTTATGTTTGAAAATCTCTAGGCTAATTGGATCTCCCTGAGATCTTTTTACCCTCAGGTCTGCAGAATGGAGCTAAAAGAGAAAGTAACAAAACAAACTGACCTCATTAAAAAACTGAAAATAAGAACTCATTCCAGCGCAGACTGTGCAATCCTCAGGAAAGTGAGGTCCATTTGCGCCTGGAATCTGGACAGGGAGGCGCTGCTCCCCTGAAACACTGTCTGCAGACCCTGTCCGGGCCCTGAGAACTGTGTGCCGAGGTGGGCCATGCAAAGTGATGGAGGCTTTCAGGTTCCCATCACAGTCAGCATCAGCTGGCAAGCCCCACCTTGAGCAGACGGCCCTAAATCTCACTTGTGTGTAACTGTCCACGGCGACCCTAAGCACCCCCCAGGGGAGTCCGTGGGGAGATGGCTCACCTTGACTGCTGGGACAGGCCCTCGAACTTGTTTGTGGTCTTACTGGACGATGACGGACCCACGTCGTTACCTGGGGGAGACAGGATTAAATGGACCAACGGCTGTAGGTCACATGGCTGCCAGAGGTCCCACACACAAATGCACTTGAGTTTCATTACTCCTTGGAGATGCCCTGAGAGCAACGTTAATAATAGTAACTGCTGTGTATTCAGCCCTGACTACGAGTGAGGTACTGTGCTAAGTACCTCGCAGTCACTGCATCAGTGAGATGCATATTATGGTGTGGGGGTGCTCGGTCATGCTCCACTCTTTGCAACCCCGTGGACTGGAGCCCACCAGGCTCCTCTGTCCCTGGGGTTTTCCTGCAAGGAATACTGGAGAGGGTTGCCACTCCCTCCTCCAGGGGATCTTCCCAGGGACTGAACTGGTGTCCCCTGTGTCTCCTGCACTGCAGGTGGATTCTTTACCCGCTGAGTCAGCAGGGAATCCCAGACACACTATTTGCCTTCCGGTTTACATAAGAAACAAAGAAGCAAAGCAGAGGCCAGGGTCAAGCAGCTGGTGGGTCAGAGCTGGGATGCGAAGCCAGGCAGCCCTCCCCCAGGCTCTGCAATGAACCCCCACCCGTGCGGCTCCCACCCCAGCCCCATAAGCTGCAGGACAGGGAGAGGCTGCCCGAGTGCTCAGATGGAACCTCTTGGACGGGACTGTAACGCCAGGAACATCGATGCATGAAGAATAGGGCCGGACTTTCAAATACAGATCCAGTTTACTGAGCCACTCCTCCTAACCATCAGTCTATTTCCACAGCTCTGCAGCTTAATGCTGAAGGTCTTCCCTGGCAGCCTCTCACGGCATCCTCCGAGTTGAAACTGCCTTTTTTTAAGGCAGGCGTTTCTTTTCAGAGTGGTGCTCAAATCTCACACTTTCAGACTTAAATGGGTCATAACAATTAAAATGTCAAAGAAAGTTCTAGATGAGGGGAATACGCTGCCACATCTGCTCATTCCTGCTCCAGGTAGAAAACACCCCAAACCAGTGATTCTCACCCTTTGTGCACAAGCACGAGACCACCCGGGCTGCAGGAGCCCCCGCTCCGCTCGGGGCCACCCGCTCCGCTGTCTCACAGAAGCCAACACGTCGGGGGCTGTGGCCCGACACCGCAGCTCAAACGGCCGGAGTCCTCACTTCACCCTCTCCTCTGCCCACTTTCCAAAGACGCCAAGTGTTTTTACGCCTCTGTAACCTCGTCCCCTCTGTTCCTGCTCCCTGCAACACCTGTCCCCTCCCACTTGTGGTAAATTCCTCTGCCACCTTAGGAAAGAGTCTCTGCAAAGTCGGACTCGGTCCCTTCATCTCCCGGGTGAGCCGATAACCATTAATCACAGAGGACGGTCAGGGTGCAGATTCTAGAGCCAGACAAGCCTGGCTCTGGATTCCAGGTGCGTGCCTGACCAGCGGGCATGAGTTCTGATGACACTGCTTTTCCTACCGAGTCTCGGTTCCCTCCTGTACGAAAGAGGATAACAGCTACCACTCCACTAGACGGCATGAGCGTCACAGGAGAGAAACCACGGAGTGTGGTGCACGGGGCTGGACCACGGGGGCGTGACACGAAGGGGGATCGCTGTTCCAAGCTCTCTGATGCGATGTAACGAAAATGGTGATGATTTTCTTCCTCAGCAGGTGAGCCCGTCACTGACAGGGGCACTGCCCTGTCCGGCTCCGTGGCCCTGCTCTCCGACCCGGCGAACGCCCAGAGCCACCTCCGGGTGCTGCTGAAGGAAATCGCGGCAGAGCCGCCCCCAGCCTGGCTTCTCCCACTCCTTGGGGGTGAGGGTGGGCCTGGGGAAGGCATCTGAGGTTGGGCAGACAGGAATCCTGTCTTTCTCAGAGCCAGGCAAAGTCCACCTGCCATGCCTGGGAAGAGCAATGTGGCTTAGCAAAATTTCCAAAAATAGGAGAGCAAGGTTGGAGGGAGGACAAGGAGCATGGAAGCAGCTCAATCCTTTTCCCTCTTTCTGTGCAATCTGGGGAAGGCCTGTGGTGCACGCACACATGTGCAGGAAGGGAGGGCGGCAGACAGACGCGGGGCAGGCAAGTTAAGAAGCTGTGACCAAGGACGTCCCCGGGGGTCCAGTGGTTAAGAATCTGCCTGCCAGTGCAGGGCACAATGGGTTCGATCCCTGGTCCAGGAAGATCCCACATGCCTCTGGGCAACTAAGCTTTCAAGCCGCAACTACTGAAGCCCGTGTGCCATAAAGCCTGTGCTCTGCGACAAGAGAAGCCATCACCACAACTAGCGAGTTGCCCCCACTCACTGCACCTGGATAAAGCTCACGTACCGACCAAGACCCAGCACAGCCAAAAGTAAATAAACAAACAACAACAAACTCTGTGGCCAAGACTCGAGGTCACTTGGTATGGCTCTGCAGCTGTGGGCCAAGAGTGTGGAATGAGAGGAGGCGCCACCCAGCAGGGCCTGGCACATGGGCTCTAGGAGTCTTCTGGAAGAGTGGACACTCGTATGACCCTCTGAGTCAGGAATGGATTCAGATCCCAGCTCTGAAGTTACTGGACTTGTGATCTTAGACAAGTCGCTAGGCCTCTGTGCTTCGATCTCGTCAGTTACCCCAGGACAATGACAGTCCCTATCTTACAGGACAGTTATGATTTAATTAGGATTGACTGGTTTGATCTTCTTGCTGTCCAAGGGACTCTCCAGTAAATCCTAAAGGAAATCAATCCTGAATATTCACTGGAAAGGACTGATGCTGAAGCTGAAGTTCCAATACTTTGGCTGCATGATGCAAAGAGCAGACTCACTGGAAAAGACCCTGATGATGGGAAAGATTGAAGGCGGGAGGAGGAGGGGATGACAGAGGACAAGATGGATGGATGGCATCACCGACTGGATGGACATGAGTTTGAGTGAACTCCAGGAGATAGTGAAGGATGGGGAAGCCTGGTGTGCTGCTATTTATGGGGTCGCAAGAAGTCAGACATGACTGAGCGAATGAACAACAAATGATGACTTAATACAAGAATGTATGAACAAATGTACAGGACCTGATAGCTGGTGAGTAATCTATACATGGTAGTAGCCATTACTATTTCTAGAACTGCATGTAAAATGGGATTGGGGTGGCAGGGGCAGCTGAGTTGAGAATATACTGGGAAATCTAAGAAAAAGGAAAGAATCAGGAAGTATCCACCCAAAGGCTCTCTTACAAGCCAATGCTACTTCCAATAAGGACATGTGGGCGTCACGGATTTCAAATACTGACTCTTTCACCTGGAAGTTCTGGGCTTGAAATAGGAGAAGTGAATCAATTTTGGCTATAGCTCTTCATTCATTATCTATTTTCCATTAAAAAAAAAAAAAAAGGAAGCTTGGGGAGGATGGGGGCCCGGGAAGTAGGGAAAAATAAGGAAGTCAATAGACCTTTCTAAGTCCTGGAAGTTAAAGACAAGGAATTAAAGTAATTCCCAGAGGTCACTTAGGCAAGAACTGGTGGAACACGGGTCAGAACTCGGGCTTCTGGAAAGTTCATTCAGTTCACGTTACGGTTCCCCAGGATGTGGCCCTGTAAACACTTCCGTGAATACCTGACAGAGGTCCCAGGGGAGGCTGATCACAGGTAGCAATTACAAGGATCTCAAGTTCGAGAAGAGTTTACGACTATGGCCACCACCAACTGGATGACCGGCTGCACTGTTTTCTGTGCTCTCGCCTGTGAGAACCTCAGGGTCAGATCCGTGTCTACTTCCAGCCACCGCATGCGCACCTGTGCTATGCCTTTAGTGCCGACATCACACTCCTGGCCTTCATTTCACTTTGCTACCTTATTCTCCCTTTGTCCTCATTTCCTTACTAATTTAATTTGTGTGTTAAAATGTGTTGGTCTCTTAGAGAACAGGCTCTAACCAGCTTATTTTATCTCCGAAGGCGAGGTTTAATGACAAGCCACCTCAAAAATCAACAGTCCCTGCAAAAACCCGATTCTGCCCATAGGCCTGGCTGTCTTCTGATCAAAATCCTGCCTTCGCCATCTCCCCAGTGATGGCTGAACTCATCGCCGTGGTGGGACTGCAGCCACGTGACACCTGGGCTATCTGGATGCTGTGGATCCAGTGGGGAGAAAGCCTGGGGCGACCTCCCCAAAGATCAGGGCTCCACGCTGCAGGGGCGGGGCGGCACGGGCAGGCAGAGGGTGTCCGCCTGCCGGGGTCCCTTCTCCCCGACGCCATTCACAGCTAGAGGAACAGCTGCCGAGACAGGAGAACGGCCACAGCGATCGGCGAGCCGCTACGAGCAGAGCTCAGCGGAGCACCGAGGGGGCGAGGGCCGCGGGCTCTCCCAGCCACAGGGGATGCCCTCTCACCAGCTGGGAGGACCTGGGCAGGGCACCGAGCCTTTCTGAATCTCAGTGTCCTTACAGTCCAGACACCCATGTCCTACTCTGTGAAACTGTGGCGAAGAATCTCATGAGGGCTATTAACAGCCCCATTTTACAGCTGGAGAAACTGAGGTAGGAAGTAAACCAAATAGAACCGCTGAAAGCCACAGGGCTACAGGTGGTAGAGACGGATCAGAACCCAGGCAGGGTGACACAGGTCCACACTGGAGCTCCGGAGACAGAAAAAGCTCGTGCCTCCGTAAAGCGTTCATACCGTGCTAAGAAAGGCAGAGCAGCCAGCAGGACCACCCTGTGATAATCCCAACGCCAGAAGGGGCGGAGGGTGGGCAGGTGGGGCCTGGCGAGGGCTCAGGGGCTGTGCTATCCACTCCGCACGCCCACCACCCCCCACCCCCCGGCCCTGACAGATCTCAGACAGTCCAGAAGCCCTCACCCTCGGGTGCTGGGAGGAGAAGGGGACTTTAGGGGAACATAAGTGCACCGGAAATTGATGCTTTCCAACTGTGAGATGGTTGGGATGGCATCATCAACTCAATGGACATGAGTCTGAGCGAACTCCAGGAGGTAGCGAAGGACAGGGAAGCCTGGCGTGCTGCAGTCCACGGGGTCATGGAGTCAGACACAACTGAACAATAACAACAAACAGCACTGGCAAGATGGGCTCCCGGAGGAAGGCTGTAGGCACCGTGAGCGCACCCTGGGAACCTGACACCCCGTGTGCTTCATTTACAGGAGTCTGGCCCCTGGACCACGGCGTCAGCGGGAGACAGGCAGAGATAAAACCTGTGGGATGACAACATAAAGCATGTGGCCCGAGTTAAGAGTCGCTTCGGCGTGCCTGGTGAGAGGCCTGTCAGTGACCTGTGCCTACATGTGTCTGCAAGAAGGTCTCCCCTATGTGCACACACACCACGTCAGATAGACGGCCCGACGGTCACGGAACGACCACCTGGGGTCGTCTGAGACGTGGACAGTCGTCACTTTTGCATGGACAGGTTCTCTTTGTCCCTGGAGGCGGGTGGTAGGCGAGTGGCTCTGGCAGGTGGTGATGGGTGGGGAGGGCAGACGACTGCTCGCAGCCCGAAGTTTTCAAAGCTCGAAGGCTCCCTTCTGCTCACTGTCCAGGACACTGACTCTGTCCCATAAAGGGGGAACCTTGCTTCTTAGCGAAAATGCCCCTCGTCCCCAACAAAACCACCAAAACCAAAACCAAAACCAAACAAGATGAATGGCAGCTGCGAGTCCTGCTGCTCAGTCAGGTGGAAGGAACCTACAAGAGAGATGATTCTTCAGCCAGAAAACAGAGATGTAGTAAATTTCAACTGCAGACCAGTGGAGTAAGGCATGATAAACTTCATGGAGAAATAAAAGAGAACCTGAATGAACAGGATCAAAGCTTAATGAGATTCACAAAGAAGGTTAATTGGAGATTCGTGGTAGGAACACTTGCAGGAAACTCGTGACCGTCAGTGGGATGCTATCTGGGGCAAGGTCCTTTTGGACGAACCCTGGGGACTCCCGAAGGCCCTGGGGTGGTGGGTGGGGGAGTCTCGGGTAGTCTCAGGGACCTGTGTGTTGCTGATGGGTGCCTGGGCGGTGCCCTTCAAGGCTCCCCCGGCTCGTCTCACTGGGAACTGACTACTCAACACCCGCTGCGAAGTCCCCGAGAAGCCTCCCCATGCAGCTGGACGCCCCAGTCCAGCATTTCCACAGTTTGGCTCATAGGGCAGCCTGGCGGTGAAGAACACACTGCACACGCATTCCCACTCATCTCCATCCTGGAGCATGCGTGTGCAGAGGCCCAAACCCCAGGCACGAGGCGAGCGGAGTGGAGTGCTGAGCACAGACAGCCCACCCACGCCGGGGCATTCCAAGGCACGTGCAGCTCATGCGTGTGCCAGTCTGCAGACGGCAGCATGGCTGTTCCCCAAAGCTCCCCAAGTTTGGAACACCTAATGCCTTTAATGATGGCCTTTCCTGGGGATCAGTTGGTAAGCAGACCGCCTGCAATGCGGGAGACCTGGGTTTGATCCCTGGGTCAGGATGATCCCCTGAGGAGGAAATGGCAACCCACTCCAGTATTCTTGCTTGGAAAATCCCATGGACAGAGGAGCCTGGTGAGCTACAGCCCACGCGGTCACAAAAAGTCGAACACGACCTGGCGACTAAACTGCCAAATCACCAATGCCTTTAAAAGCGTTCAGCCGAGTTCACTATCGGTTGCAATGAGAAACAAACAAAAAAGTCACAAGGTGACACGCTGGAAGGGGGAGGTGGGACCTGTAAACCAGCAGAGCCAGGGCCCCAGGGGACGCCTGGCTCTTGACAGAAGTTGGTGGCAGGCTGGCAAACTAAAAAGGCAGATGGAGCTGGAAACGGCGCTCCTCGTGGATGGAAATATGCTATCCGCCATCAGCTGTCACAGAAATGGTAAACTACTGACTGACTCTGGGTGGGTTTATTTATTCTCCAGAGATTATTGAGTGCCTGGCTCGATTCTAGGCTCCGTGGACACAGAAGAGAACCAGATAGACAAGAGCCCTGCTCTCACAGAGACCAAAACACCAAACACATATAGTAAAACATTCTTGTGTCGGCGGAGATCCGGGCCCGGAGGGAACGGGGATGGGGGCTCCCTTAGAGGGGACAGCCAGGCTTGAGAAGGACGAGAAGGAGCAGGCTTTCAAGCCCACACCAGAGCTGCAGGGAGGAGGTGGCCCCAGGAGGCAAAGAGCCTGGAGGGCCCCGCAGTGAGAGCAGAGCCGTGAGGCTGAGAGCGGGGGAGGCGGCTGGGAGAGACAGGAGCCTGACCACCGAGGCCCTGGCGGGCGTCTGGTGCACGAGAAACGCTCAGCACCTTATCCTCACTGAGCTTTCTAAGTGGTGACAGAAATATTTTCCCAAACGTTTCTTGGCCGTAGGAGGCTGTGCGATCACACGTGTCTAAGCCCTGGCCCAGCGTGGGTGCGGGCTCCTCCGTCTGCTGAGCGTGCTAAGTGCCCACTGCCCCCGAGCCCCGTGGCGGCCCGACCCCGGGCAGCCTGGGCCCTGACTTGAGGATGACTTACCCCAAGGAACTGCGCCTTTGTTTGGGGGCCCGTGAGGTAGTGGGCTGGGAGGGTCGGACAGGGTTCTCTTGTGTCCGGGTGGTGGGGGAGGAGGCCGCTTCTTGGACAGGGTGGAGCTGCCACTAGAGGTCTGGGTGCTTAGAGGGAGTGTTGAAGGTGGGCCAGGTGGACCTGGAAAGGAATCGAACGGGGCAGGAAGGTTAATCCCGGTCTCGCAGACAGAACAGCCCGTATGCGGTTACTCCCGAGCACAGAATGGGGTATGATACAGGGAGATGGAAGCAGGAGCCTGGGGTGGCCCAGTCCATCCACCCAGTAACCCACGAGAAGGGTTTTAAAAAATTGCTGGTAAAAAAAAACTAAAAAGGAGAATGTGTGCTGTTAAGAAACAAAACGTCAGTCAACATGGAATACCACTGGGTTTACATCCTCATTTGGGTGCAATGGGAAAAACACATTTCAAACCAATAAACACTGGAACCACTGCAAAACCTACTGAGGAAGAAGACGCACAGCACTGCCAGCAACATCAATGGAGAGAAGAGCAAAGAACCGACGAAACCTCCAAGGGGCCTCAGACCAGGGTTTTCTTTCCACTGCAACTGCTTCTTCCAGTCAGCAGACTTGGCCAGAAGTTTTTTTTTTTTCTCTTTTCTGATGACTTTTATAAATAATGAAAGCTCTAATGTAAAGGGTTACTTGGAAAAAAGGGAAACACAAAAACCCTCTTTTCCCCTCCAATTCCTGACCTGTTCTGGAAATCACAAAGGTGAGAAGTGTTATTTGCTCATTCATGTCCTATGCCACCCTGTAGACTGTAGCCCACCAAGGTTCCTCTGTCCATGGGATTCTCCAGGCAAGAATACTGAAATGGGCTGCCATTTCTTTCTCCATGGGATCTTCCTGTCCCAGGGGTCAAACCTGGGTCTTTGGCATTGCAGACAGATTCTTTACTGGCTGAACCGCTAGGGAAGCCCCAGAAATCATAAACCATCTATTATACTGCAAGCTTGAATAAATTATTTAAGCTTCACTGATTTCTAAAGGTGTTTAAAATTGTTTTAAACACCCGCATTTCATTTTTTAAGTTGGAGCATAACTGTTTCACGGCTGCGCTAGTTTCTGCTGTGCAGCAGTGTGAACCAGCTGTGTGTGCATCCCCTCCCGCCTGAGTCAGTATGTTTTTAAAAAGGTTCCCCTTTCTCTAGAGGTGATGACAGGATAGCAACAATGATACTAATATCACACACACACACACACACCATTACTACCATTTCTAATGTTTTTAGGAAAAGAAAGGGATTTTTAAGTTGTATATATGCTGTTAATTTTATTTCAAGTGACACTGAAGTGGCTGGTGTGTGCCTGGGCACCTGGGTGATGCTGGGCACCTTGACAAACCTCTCTTCGTGATTATTACCAGGTATATGATTTAACTAGACAACAGTCTGCACAAACATTGAAAGAAGAAAAAAAGGAAAGAAATGAAAAAAGCTAAGGACACTGCCACCTCAAATGTTTAAGGCAGGAGGGTAGGTACCCGGTGCCCCAGAAAGGCTCCAAAAGAGCCTTCTATATTCCACGTATTAAAAGAGAAGCTTAATTACTGCTGGCCTCCTTCATCGGAAAACAAGCTCTGTTGTATCCCATGATCAATTATGGTCAGTACCAACACAGACTTAAACCCCTGTTTTTCAGAGATAGTCTTGTCTTGAAGTAAATACTGCTCAGCTCGGGAAAACGGTCATTTGCTTTAGGATGACATGACCCTGGCTGTAGCATTTATTCTCAGTCCTACTGACAGATAGGTGATGGAAGTCTGTTACCCCAGAGCAATGCCTAATTATGACACCAGTCACTGCCGTTTCAGGAACGATTTTATTTTTGCAACAATAAAGGCATTGTTACTTTAGCCTTGTGTTTGCATAGGGCGTCTTAGTTTTTGAAATAGGTTCCTATATGGTGTTCCCCTCAATTTTCATAACAGCTCTGTGAGGCATGTGGGTCAATATTGTTCTTGTTGCTAAGTTGTATCTGACTCTTTGCAACCCCATGGATTGTAGCCCACCGGGCTCCTCTGTCCATGGGACTCTCCAGGCAAGAATACTGGAGTGGGCTGCCATTTCCTTCTCCAGGGGATCTTCCCAATCCCGGGACAGAACCCGCTTCTCCTGCACTGACAGGTGGATTCTTTACCACTGAGCCACCTGGGAAGCCTGGGGTCAGGTATCACTGGCCCCATTTCGCAGCTAGGAAAGTGGAGCTGGAGTGATAAAGGTTAGGTAGCCGAGAGGGGCTGGGCTGGACCACGACGCAGGTCTTTGCGGCTGGCGAGGGCTCGGCCTGTCCTAAAAGCCAGGCCAGCATTTTCTGGGCTCGGCACACGTTGATGCAAACTGCAACAGCAACGCTTGGTACTAGGTACTAGGAAGTATTTCCTCTTGGAAATAGACGGAGAATAGATAATAGACAATGGTGAGATTCTCCGGCGGCTCGTCTTTAGTGCCACCTAGGGACTTCTCGAGGTAGCGCACCTGAAAGGCCATTCAATGGGTTCCAAATCCTGCCTGGAAACACAGACGGCCAATGGGGCCATGTCTCTGGGCAGAGCGCTCTGTGTACGTGATTTTAGGAGGGAGCAAACCAGAGCAGTCCTGCAACCAACCACAAACCAAGCAAAATCAAGCTCTCTGAATCATCATGTTAAAAATGTAGGGGTTCGTGTTCCCTTCATCACGTCATCACTGCCTTGCCTCACTTTCTTCACATCGGCTGCCGCAGTCTCTAATTATTCCTTTTCTGCTTACTTGTCATGGCCTCCTTCCCCACCACGCTGCAGGTTCTATCGAGGTCAGGCTTTTCTCTGGCCTGGTAAGCTGAATTTAATAATGCAGTGTCGAATAAAAGGATGAATAAACTGCTCCCTCTCTTGTTTCAAGGCTAGTGATTCTTAAGGACGATAGACTCTCACTTCGGGAGACAGAGCAGAGACCAGGGAGAGAGGGGACCTAGTGAGGGCGGTGAGAAGTTCAAAGAGACACATTCAATACCGTAATCTACCTGCACAGAAAACACACATACCCAGATCCACCTACCGTGCCGGTACAGAAGCCACAGAAAGGAAGGTGCCACTGAATCTTCCCGACTGGTGGGTTAATGAGTTAAAAAAGGGTGAAAAACAATATATCAGACCCCAGGGAAGCAGACAAAAATTTTTTAAGTTGTAAAGAGCTCAAAAGATTTCCAAAATGAGTAACTTGTCTTTAGGCACTGAAAATGATGTTTTAAGTGAAATAAACCTGAGGACTGGCCCAGTCAGGAAAGAAGCAATTCCTGCAGGGTAAAGAAAGCTAAACAGGGACTTCCCCTGGTGGTCTAGTGGCTAAGACTCCACACTCCCAAAGCAGCAGGCCTGGGTTCGATCCCGGGTCAGGGAACTAGATCCCACATGCCACAACTAAGACCTGGTACAGCCAAATAAATAAATAAAATATATATTAAAAAAAAAAAAAGAAAGCTGAAACAAAAGAGAACAGGAAAGAGTAGACACAGCATCAAACATACTCAAAAGGGAGGCAAGATTAACAGGTGGGGAGGGGAGGGACTTGGGCAGCCGCGGCATGTGGGAATAGGCAGAAAACACCCTAAACCACAGGGCCACTAACATCGGCTATTATGTCAAATTATCCACCAACACTTTTCCTAAAACATGGGTCTAGACTCACAGAGCTGCTGTGAGTAACGCCGAGGTCGCATTGTTAGAACGGCTTTCACGGGGAGGCAGGGTGTAGCGCGGCTCTTGCTGGGGGCCTGCGCGGCTGGGCTACGTTCCTGCGTCGCCAACGGCCCCTTGGGTCTCCTGTCTGCTGGACACTCTCTCCGTGCCTTCAACTTGAGCGGCCCCCCTGGACACGCCCTGAGCTGTGCTGCTGAGAGCTTCTCCCGGTCATCAGCGCGGGGAGGCCCCTCACGGAGGCCGACACGTGGCCAGGGCTTGGGAAGCTCACCAGCCTGGCGATGCTGTACATCTCAGAAGCCACGGTGCCCCCTGCGGTCCCTCCACCCCAGCGTCTGTCAAGGGCCAGCTTCAGTGTGACCTTATCCAGAAGGCTGCTCTAACCCTCCTGTGCCCTGGAGCAACTGCGGCTATGAATATCTCTGCACGCACAGGCTGACTGGCACTGCACACTCTCTACCCAGCATCAGACCCACACTGTCTCCTCCCCAGGCTGGAAGCCTCCTCAGGGCAAGGGCCACACTGTCCTCCCCTCTCAGTGCCCGGCACGTTCTGGGCACAGCCTACGGACAAAATTCACGGGATAAGTCGGCAGGATTCTTCTTCAGTGTCCTTGTATCTTTGAAAAGAAAGTGAAAGTCACGCAGCTGTGTCTGACTCCTTGTGACCCCATGGACTACAGTCCATGGAATTCTCCAGGCCAGAACACTGGAGTGGGTAGCCCTTCCTTCTCCAGGGGATGTTTCCAACCCAGGGATCGAACCCAGGTCTCCTGCACTGTAGGCAGATTCTTTACCAACTCAGCTATCAGGGAAGCCCTTGTACCTTTGGTTCTTAATAAAACAGAACCCAGAGGCTGCCCCCCCGTGCTAGGAGACCAAAGGTACACCTCTGAAATTTTGATTTAAAGAAAAACCTAAAAGGTGACTTTAAAAATTAACCTGACAGTTTTGGGCAGAAAACTGTCTATAGAGGTATAATATATATATATTCTAACATGCCATATGTAAGTGTTAATGACAGGAGCTAATGACAGAGTTATATAGACAACCCTGGACAACGCGAATGAAAAATTCAGCATTTTCTTTTTTTAAAATTTAGCACTGTCTAATGGTTTTCACAGTATGAAGCTTGAAAGAGAGGAGAGTTTACATCACTTAAAACGTAGGTAAAGATGCACTATCTTTACTTAGACAAGAACTGTCTGTGTACAAGGAAGAAGCTACAAACACCTCCTCGCTCAGAAGGGGAAACGGAGGCAGAGTGCGGTGCAGGGAGCGTGTAGAGAAACCATGGTGGGTCAGCCGTGGAGCTGGTGGGGTCCCAACACGGCGGTGAGATGCTGTGAAGGACCCAACATCACAGAACACACGAGAGCTGTTCACGTCTCCTTCAACCTCCTTCCGGGAATATTAAGAGGAAAGAACCAAACTCAAGGGGCTCAGGGTCGGCTCCCTAATGCTTCCTCATACACACTTCTATGCAAGACGCACAGCAAGGACCTCCTTTCCACGCCCCGGCAGTCAGGTGGCCTGGCTGGCCAGCCTGCGCCAGTGACCACGGCCCAGGGCGGGAGTGACAGAGGTGCTCTCGGCCAGCGCAAGGTGACACATGTGATGCTTTAAAAAGGAGTGAGAGAGACTGAAAAAAACAGGCCAAAAAAATCTCCCATCTCGCAGTACCCACCCCCAACCAAAACCTAGAAAATTCAACTGGAATGAAGCACAATGGTCCCTGGGAAGTATTAAAACCAAGCCATTCAAGTTGCTATCTTCCTATGAGATTAAAAAAAAAAAAAATCCCAGGAAATTTAAGAGCCATCAGCATATGAATCATGTCTCTCTCGGGGAGAACATCCTAGGTGCCCTGACTCACACTCTGAAGGTGGTCGGCCACCTTCAGACCCCTGGGGGGTGGTCTCCTCCCCGGCCACCCCTCTCTGTTGCCACAGACCTCAAAAGAGAGCCAGAGAAATGGTGTATAACAGGCTTAAACAACTGAGTGTGGGCATAAACATCCTGCAGGCCAACTGTCTATCACATTCAGCAGATCAACTGTCTGTCACGCCCCCAGGACATCTGGGTTAGTTTTCTGAGTATCCCCTCCTTGCTCTGGCCACACATTTCTGGGATGTGCTTTCATTGATTCCGCTGTTGTTTATTCATGCGACAAGCGCTGACGGAGCGCACCCGTGCCGGGGATGCGGGGACAGCTCACTCACAGCATCCCTGCAGGAGCGGATGGGGGAGTGGATGGGAGACTTCCTCCACCCTTTCTCAAACCTGCAGCGGCACCCGCAGCCACCCCGATGGCCAGCTCACCCCTCTCTCGTCCACTGGAGCCCGAGCGCCACCCTTTGCTACCTTCCCAGGACCCGGGATACTTGCAGAACTGAACATCTGCAGCAGGACCAAATAGGCTGTCGTGCTACATACTGAAGGCCCACGCTGTGCCACTTTGTGGATATGACTTCACGCTCTAAGCAAGGACCCCGCCAGACGCCCAATCCTGAGTTTTCAGACGAAGAGCCCGAAACTCGGCAAGGTGAGCTGAATGTGAGAAGGAGCAGGGCGGGACACGCTTAGCACTTGAGAACGCCATGCAAACACGATCGCTTTCCTTCCCACACGTACGGGCCCGTGAGCCAAGCTGACCGCAAGAAGCGGCTCCTGTTTCGAATCCCTTCTACAAGTCACGGGTGGGCCGGGCCTCTTGTCTCTCACCAGCTCGGAATCTGATGTCCTGCTGTGAACGGCCTGGAAGAACACTCCTGATTTTAGCAGGGAGGGACGTCTATGTTCGAATACGGGATTTTGGGGGGGCAGGGGGTGAGCAATCTACCCTCAGCTGACCACGGCTGCCGTGGCAGTCTCTCAGCCCTTGTTTCAGCAGCTGGATCATTAAGTAAGTCTGGTCTTTGTCTTCTGGGCCTCTGGTAAAGAGCTAATAAGAAATTTATTCAAGGCAGCAACAGATACATACTCTGGCGTTCAGTCAGTTCATTTTATGGGTTTCTGAGTCCCCTTGAGATAAAATTACAGGAAGGGATACAGGGAGGTGAGGGGGGCCTTCTGGCTTCTAGGACTCTGTGTCATTTCCTCCTGTAGACCTCAAGATTCTCAATGACCTGGAGGCTCTGAGAGGCTATCATCACTTTTTTTGGTAAGCACAATTAGGTCCTCTTTAGGATGAAGAGAGGAACGCTGCTCTGAGCAGACTGCTACCCTGATGGGGAATACCATCACCCAGAGGTGAGCGGCAATACAGCCTTCTTACAGAACACTTGCACCCTGACCTGCTAGTGATGTAAAAGGTACGTTCCGGCATAACGCATGGGATGGGAAGAACCACACTGGCGGGTGAATAAGCCTGTTGCTGCTCTGGTCACGGGTTATCTCTGATGGGCACCGTTCGTGCCCAAGTCTTATTTTAACTTCCTCCGCAATTTTATAATCTCTGAGGCCATTTGGGGTCTAAGAACACTGCTCCCATTTATAACACTATTTCAATGGAGAATAAGCTCTGAAAAAACACTGTTTTGAATAAAGCTCACATTCCCCAGAAAAGAGCCCCAGTGTGACTCCAATAGGCGCGGCATTGTTCCTGGGGAGCCCCTGAACCTGCGTGACCACGAGCCAAGCACACAGGCAGGATTCTGCACTTGGATTTACTGGCTGAGGCCAGACCTGGAGCGCCAGCTCTGGGCACCTCTCGGATTCCCCGGGCGGCGCTCAGTCGTGTCCAACTCCCTGTGACCCCAGGAACTGTGGCCTGCCAGGCTCCTCGGTCCACGGGCTTTCCCAGGCAAGAATACTGCAGTGTGCTGCTGTTTCCTTCTCCAGCGGATCTTCCCGACCCAGGGATCGACTCTGGGTCTCCTGCACTGGCGGATGGATTCTTTTACCACTGAACCACCTGGGAAGCTCCCCGCCACTGGGCAGGGTAATTCCTTAATGTTACCATTTCTGCTTCTCAACCTGTCCCCATGTAGGTGGGAATACATGGACTTTCTGGGCAGGGTGCTCTACGGATTACAGAAATGGGGGAATCTGCAGACTGTCACTCCCAGCACAGTAACCCTCTTGATAAGATCCTGCCCTGGCTGGCGTCTCACAGAAAAACCACTCCTCATCAGAGAGCACGGGAATGTGGGTTGGGGTCACACAGCACCTGGGTGAGGATCCCAGCCACCGAGAACCTCAGGGCAGTGACTAAGCCTCCCTGAACCATGGGCCCCGTCTGCCTGGTGCCACCAGCTGTCCTACGTACCTCATTCTGTGAGCGTGGAAAAAGAGGTTCTGGGTTTAGGGTCACTCCTAAGGCAAGAGCTTCGTAACTATTAACTATTACTGTTATTACATTTTAGTGTTGAGGAAAGAAACTTCTCAAAGAAGAATGGAAATCCCACCCCATATTACACAGCAAAGAGCACTGGTTTTGGAGCCACGTGACCCTGGATGGACCCTCAACTCCACCACTTACCGGCTGCACGACCTTGGGTGAGTCCCGCTACCTCAATTTCCTCATCTGTACAATGGGCACAAAAGCACACACCTCATGGGAAGTTGTGAGGTTCACTTAAGACAAGGCAGGAGGCGTGCCCGTAATGCTATTTCTCAGCTGTAACGCAGCAGACGGCAGGGTCCCTGTTTCAAGCCGCCCTGACATCACAGCCCTGCTGCTCACACTCACCCCGAGATTCTGACCTCAAAGCCGGGTGGGTCCCCAGCTCTGAGGATGGAGTCACGCGGCCCGTCCCAAGGCTCGTACCTTTCGCGGCGTTTCTGGGAGGCAGCGGGGGCGCCTCCGCAATCGGTGACGTGGGTGAGTCTGTGCTTGCGGAGAAGAGCTGGTTGGTGAAGGCGCCGTAGGAGAGTCGCTGCTTGTCCCTCGGCGTGCCGAAGCCCGGCAGCGAGAGCTTGTCCTGCGGGGAGATGCTGGACGAGTGGCAGAAACTCTGGGGTCGGGGGGAGCGCTCCTTCTTGATGGGGCTTGGCTGGCAAGCGAAACAACAGTGCGGGGGGTCAGCCGTAATCAAGGTGTCCGGGGGACGCGGGCAGGGCAGGCTCAGGAGGGGACGGGGCTCCCGTGGCTCTGCCTATTGGGAATCAGTCACACGAAAACTTAAAGAGTCGTGACACGGCACAAGGAAGACATCTAGGGAGTGCACGTCTGACTCCTGTCATCACCAGGGTCCCCCGAGGGACATGCCTGTGAGGGCTCACAGTATTCAGAAGCGTAAGGTTACAGACCTAATCTTTTTTTCTTTAATTTTTAATTTGCATTGGGGGTATACCCGATTAACAACCTTGTGATAGTTTCGGGAAAAGAGCAGAGGGACTCACATATATACATGTATCCATATCCACACACCTACATGTATCCACTCTCCCCAAACTCCCCTCCCATCCAGGCTGTCACGTAAGCCTGAGCAGAGCTCCCCCCGCTCTGCAGCAGGTCCTTGCTGGTGATCCATTTTAAATACAGCAGCCTGTGCGTGTCCATTCCAAACTCCCTAACTCTCCCTTCCCCCATCCCTTTCTGTTAACAACCATAAATTCACTAAGTCTCACAGATATAACCTTATCCACAGATACCTCCCCTGTGCAGGACAGTTCCCCAGCGTCTGGACCGTGAGTCCCGTCTGTAATCTACGCTAACTGTTCGTTCCCACTCAGCCCTTTGATGTCCACGCTCTCCACCACACCCTCCCCCTTCTTATTCTGCATCCTCTTGGGAGGGAACCTCACCCATGCCTGTGGCCGTAACTGACAGCTAACGTTGATGACTGATTAACATCAATTAAAACAATTGATGCTTTTGAACTGTGGTACTGGAGAAGACTCTTGAGAGTCCCTTGGACTGCAAGGAGATCAAACGAGTCAATCCTAAAGGAAATCAACCCTGAATATTCATTGGAAGGACTGATGCTGAAGCTCCAATACTTTGGCCACCTGATACAACGAGCAGACTCACTAGAAAAGACTCTGATGCTGGGAAAGATTGAGGGTAGGAGAAGAAGGGACTCAACAGAGGATGAGAGAGTTGGATGGTATCACTGACTTGGTGGATATTAGTTTGAGCAAGCTCCAGGAGATGGTGAAGGACAGGGAAGCCTGGCATGGTGCAGTCCATGGGGTCACAAAGAGTCTAATACAACTGAGCAATTGAACGACACATGTTGATGACTCAGGCCTGCACACCTAAGCCCAACCTCTCGGATTCCAGACACTTCCAACCCCCGGTGACAGCAACGGCACCCATGCAACCTCCAGATTTAGAACCTCAGTGGTGCAGAGAGTCACCTGGTCTTGCATAGGTAAGTCAGGTCATGAGACCAAAATTAACCTCACAGAGAATGGATCTTATCTGCACAGTGGAGAAAACCCGGAGCAGCACTGGAATTCCGAGGCATCATCTCCACTCACTTTGTCATCCAGGTCGTCATCACTTTCATCCATCTCCTCCTGTCGAAGATTCCACTCATATTCCACGTGGACATGTGGATTGAACTTTCCAGATTTAGCCTGGGAAAGCTGAAAGTGACAGCAGGCGGAACCGTTTCAATTTAAAGGCGAGACACCCTGACATTAAATAAACGCCAAGTAGCTTCCACCTCATTCCTGGTTTCAGATTAATCACCAGTGGCTGCGATGCAGGCAAAACTCTGATTACATAAATGGGACAGACTGCCACAGGATAGACCTGAGAGGTATTGCCAAGAATTACAGGCAGAGCCTTTCTAATTTGGATGACTTTTCTTCGAAATGAAAAGTTTTCTTAACATTATGAATATGCGTCCCAAGAATTTACAACTGTAAATTCTTGGCAGAAGGGCAAAACTGGAGTCAGAAAAGTTTGAGAGGTCTGCCTCTAAGTCAGATGGCTCCAGTTCCACGCGGGATATACTTTCTTAGTCATAAAACAGGGCAAGAGTGACTCAACTTCCTTAAAGGATTCTTACAAAAAATAAAGGACAACTGCTGAGCCTGGGCACTTGGCAGAAACTCCAGGGAGCATCACTTATCCTTTCTGTCTTACCCTTCTCTGTGGCTAAGAGAATCATGCTCTATGCAAAGGCCCAGAGGTCTAAGCAAGATCTAGTGGGACTAGAGATGAGTGTGTACATAGAAGGGGCAGGGCAGGGCATTGAACAAGCTGGAAATCATTACACTCTGAGCTTTACTTGCCCTGGAACTGGCTTCCCCCAAAATTCTATTTTTTTAAAAAAAATTATCTTATTTCATTTTATTTTTGGGGACAGCCTGCATAATCTTAGTTCCCCAACCGGGGATTGCACCCAGGCCCCCTGCAGTGGAAGCGTGGCATCTTAACTGCTGGACTGCAAGGGAAGTTCTCAAATAATTATTTAATTACAGAGAAAGACTAATGTCCTGGCAAATAAGAAAAAGCAGTACTTTGGGACATCCTTGTAGGTCTCCCCAAGAAACCCCAAAACAACAAAAATACCCCCAGCACCTCAATCCACAACTCTGGCTGGTAACAAGACTTCTCAGATGCCTTTTAGCTGCTACACTGTAACTGCACGGAAAAGACGTGGATGAAGAATTTATCACTTCACAGTTTTTTAAAATGTAGCCTTAGTGTTGGTCTGAATTTCTTTAGCCTGCGTCCTCCACCTCACCTCCTCAGAAAATCTGCTTCTCTCACCCCCAGTATCGATTTTTGAGAACACCCTTCTTAAGGCAGAGGGTCTAACCCGTTTCCCATTCGGCTTACCAGGTCTTCACACTGAGTGGCTTTCAGCCTCTTTGCTATGTCCAGGGCAGTCTCTCCAGCCTGATTAACTGAAACAGGGGGAATACATTTGCATGATTATCTAAGATGCATCTTGAAACGGCAAAGAACAAGACTAACTGTGCAACGGAATGGGCATGTCTCAGTTTCAGCAGACTGAATGCTCTTACAGTGGTTATTCTTTTTCCTCTTTTAAAAAAATGTATTTTATTTTTTGGCTGCACTGCACAGCACGTGGGATCTTAATTCCCAACCCAGGATGGAAATTTCACCCCCTGCATTGAAGCGTGGAGTCTTAGCCCCTGGATCTCCAGTGAAGCCCCTCACTGTGGCTGAGAAGAGACCCCTGCCCATACTCACCGACGTCCACGGTGGGCTTGCTCCTGAGCAGCAGCTTCAAACACTCTGGTTTACTGTACATACCACAGTAGTGCAGGGCTGTGTTCCCCAGGGCCGTCTGCTTATCCAGGTTCCCGCTGGAAACGACAGCATTCGGAAAAAAATGATCTGCTCCGTAACTTAGAACAGATGAACCACTTTTACCCATGCTAGCGACTGAGTCAAATTTGAGACCTACTTCTTAGAGGCAGGGGAGACGATGATGTTTCGAGCATGACACCTGAATTTATAAGCAGCGTGATGACAACAATGGCCAGCACTCTTGGAGCGCCTATTGTGTTAGGACAGACACACTTCTCTTATACACATTAGCTCACTTAATCTTCACAACCACCTTTCGGGGTGCATATATCATCACCTTTATTTTTCAGACGAAAACAGTTACAGAGGATAAAGTCCTCGAGATTACCAAGACACAGATGATGGAGCAGGGATCCGAACACAGGCAGTGTGTCTGGAGCCAATGGTATGAACCACTACGCTGAACCATCTCTACAGAAGAGGCTGGGAGTTACAATCTGCCTTGAAGAACGAAGACACTGTTCTTTGAATGTGCGTTCAAATCCCCTATTTTGATCACTCTCCTCTGAATGAGCTCCAATTCCTCTTCCTAATCTGATTATAGAACTACCGAAAAAAGAATTCAACAAGCCCAAACATCCTGTACTCAATATTGTTCTTAGTATGTCCTAAATTTGAATTAGCAATTGAGTCAGCCACACATACTAAATTTATGAACAATGAAAACTCACAGGTGTTTTACTTGTGCTGTTAAGTCTCCTCTCTTTCAACCTCCCGTAAGTAACAGGTTTTGGACACAGAGAAAAGATTTTATAGTTATCTAGGCGAAGGGTTGGCCAACTATAGGCCATGGGCCATATCTGGCCCTCTGCTTGTTTTTTAAATAAAGTTTTATTAGAACATGGCCATGCTCACTTGTTTACATACTGATCATGGAAGTTTTCACACTATGATGGCAACATTGAATAGCTGTGACAGACACCTCATGGCCTGCAAAGCGTGTAATAGTCTCTGGCTCTTTACAGAAAAAAATTGCCGAGTCCTGATCCAGGCTACCAAGAGGGCTGTTTGTGTCAACTCACAATGCACATTCAGAGAAAACTAAAACTGTACCAGTTTTGTACAAGGAAGTCCACCAAATGGAGAGACGTCTGGTCTGCAGTTCGGATTGCAAGATGAAGAGCTGTCTCCCCAAGCTCCTAAAAGGAAAGAACAAGTATAAACGGGGTGATCAGATGTCCTGGTTTGCCTAGACAGGCTTTGTTTATGTCCAGTTGCCCCAAAGTAGTTATTAATAGCAGCCCCTTTCACTATCAAATTGTCCTGATTTAGACATGGTCACTTAATGTGTCACCTCACTCTGTGCTGTTATGATGTCCTCTTTTAAACTGGCTTTCCACATCCCTCCTCATCCTGCTTTTGGGGAGGCTGTTACCTGTCCGGGTTCCAGCAGAGGTTCCATTAGCTCCACCCCCTCTGCATAGACTTGAATTAGTGCAAGTAAATCCCTGGATTTGATGGCCTCAAGCAATTCGTTCAGTTTAGCTGATGAAGATGAACAGGTCTTCCGTGAAAATCTATGATCTACATACTTTGCAGTGATATATTCCTTCCGTACGGTCCTAAAATAGACCAAAACAAAATAAACTGAGATTTTTTTATTTTCCAAGAACTAAGAAAAGATTCAAATTTTTTCTGACAAACAGTTCCGTGAAGAGTTATTTCATTTAAGACACACTTCTCTTCAACATTCCAGCCGATTAGGTTTAAATCAAGCTGACTGCGGCAGAGAGAGAATGAAGAACCTGATGGGAAACTGAGGCTTGGCACGGCTGTCGCTGCAGCGCCTCCCACAGGCCATGTGCGGAGCTCCAGGGGGACAGATGGTGGTTCTTCCTGCTGTGGACAACATGCCCAGAGCCTGGGTGGGCCTGGTGCAGCATTTCTCCTTCTCATCGGCACCCACCCCTCCTCTGCTTCGGTTCAGATGGTTCTGAGCCTGCCTCCCCAGCTGCAGGGGTGAGTCTATGACCTAAGTGCCCAGACGGCCACCTCTGGGGAAAGGCTGACGTTGACACTGGCTCAGAGGAAAGGAGAGACAAGAGTCAGGAGAGTGAGCTAGGGTCCAGGTGATGCTGTCTGACATCTTGGATGCAGATGTGCCTGAACTCACCTTTTGAATTTTCCTGTTACATGAGCCCATTAATTAAAACACAATGGATTTGGAGTTCCAATCTTAGTCCTATAGCATACCAGCTATGTAACTTTGGTCAAACTACTTAATCTTCAGTTTTTGTTTATTTCGTCTGAAAATGAGGACAGTAACTCACCGGTATATTTTGAATTGAAGAACATACAGTACCTAACAGGTGCTTTCTGCTTTCCAAGAGGGCTCTAATTCATGGAGTCTGGCTCCCGAGTCTACGTGAGAGATTCAGAGAATCATGAGCTCTTATAAGGGGAAGGCAGGGCCAATGCTGCCTCTCATGTGAGCAGTAGGAAACAAAAATCCATGCTCTTACAAAATTTATCCTAAAATAACGCCTTCAAGGTTTGGGTCATGTAAACACTTAAAAAATGCTGGTGTGAGCAAGACTGGGCTGTGTATGAGCTGAGCATTTACTGTTACCACATTTGTGAAGTAATCCCGGACTGTATTTGGTTGTGGTTGTCTTGTAATCAAGCTAGCTTCTGAAAGCCCTGTTTCGCAGTGCAATTTGAGCTCATTAGTGTGAAAAAAAGACATGCGAGCAGTTTTTGTGGTAGGATGATGGTTGGACATCATTGTTACACCACACGCCCCCAGATTAGCTTAGGGTACTATACATGCCCCCAGCACCCTTGGCTTCTCTTCTCTGACATTTAAGCCACAGCTATGAGTAAACAATCTATTGTTTAATTTTCTGGTTAGTACCCAGGTGTCCCGAGGACAGGATTTGTGCTTTGCCAGATCCCCAGGATCTAACATAATACAAAGCGCAGATTAAATATACAATAAGCATTTGTCGAATTCAAAGAAAAGACAACTGCCAAAAGGCCTTCTGGAAGATTGCATTTCCTAATTTCAGACTAAAAAAGCACGTTCATCGAATGAGCACCATAATAATTCTAGTGCTTTGCAAATTTGGTGCCTGAATAACCAACCACCTGAGAAGGGCTGGCAAAACACTGAGGCTGTCACCTGCTTCTCTGATCACTTGAGTCAGAATTAAATCTCTTTTCTCCTTCCTATTTATCCACAGGATTTAGAATTGTAAAGTTTAAAGTCAATGTAAACCCTTTTGAATAGGTTTAAAGCGTCACATGACTCGACAATAGTGTGTTTACTCAGGGGGTCTCATGTCTATGCCAACCCCAGAGGAAGGACTTTTATTAGTTTCCTGGGTATTTGCCCGTGTTTCTTTAAGCAGATCCAAGTTAAAATAAATGTGTATGTTTATGTGTGTTCTTCACTGTTCAAATCACTTTGGTGCCTGAGTCCAGACAGAATAGCAAGAGTTCAAAAGTGAGGGATTAATCAGGAGATGTCCCCAAATTTGGTTCCTGAGTCTGGAGAGTGATTCTGGGTTGGGGTTTAAGGCGTGCCTATACGCACTTGCTCCCACGCCCTCTACCCTTCCCTGCTCCAAGGGCAGCATGCAGTGATGGCTGCCCTGTACCCTGATGTTTTCACTTGACAGTCATTCTGGAGATCATCCCGGATCAGGACAGGAGAAGCTCCCTTATTCCTTTTTACGTCTACAAGGGGTTCCGCTGTGTGGCCACACCATGGACTATGTCTGTCTGTTGTTCAGTCATACCCGACTCTGTGCGACCCCATGGACTGCAGCGTGGCAGGCTTCCCTGGCTGTCACTGCTGCGAAGGACACAGGGCACATATTGCGGTCGGAGTCACTAAGTCGTGTCTGACGCTCCGCGATGCAGTGGGCTTCCCTGTCCTTCACTGTTTCCCGGAGCTTACTCAAACTCGAGTCCATTGAGTCGGTGATGCCACCCAGTCATCCCACTCTCTGCTGCCCCCTTCTCCTGCCCTCAGTCTTTCCCAGCATCAGGGTCTTTTGCAGAGCGTCAGCTCTTCCTATCAGGTGGTAACACGCTCCAGCTTCAGCACCAGTCCCTCCAGTGAATGTCCAGGGTTGATTTCCTTTAGGGTGGACTGGTTGGGTCTTCCTGCAGTCCAAGGGATTCTGAGGTAGACATCTGCTTTGCTCCTAACCTTTCTCTAATACAGAACAGGAACAGCTTCCCAGAGGGCAGCTGCTGAGTCAGGGTAAATAAATCTATAATTACGATAAACATGTCTAATTTCCCCTTGTGGCTGGTGTTCCGTTTGTACTCCCACCAACAACACAGAAGCAGAGATGCCTGTTTTCCCACAGTCTGGCTGAGCAGGCTGTTAAGCACCTGGATTGTTGCCAATCTGATAGGAATCTCGCATTGCTTTGGTATGTCTCTTATTTACCACAACATGTGATGACTAAGCATTAATTGTCCTTATGAAGATTTATCCTCCACAGAGCAGCTACAATTACTTGGGGAAAGGTGATGGCAAAAATAGTTGGCGCATTCCAGAAATGGGCTTCCCAGGTGGCTCAATGGTAAAGAACCCGCCTGCCAATGCAGGAGACGTGGGTTCAATCCTGCATTGGGAAGATTCCCCTGGAGGAGGAAATGGCAACCCACTCCAGTATTCTTGCCTGGAGAATCCCATGGACAGAGGAGCCTGGCAGGCTATAGTCCATGGGGTCGAAAAGAGTCAGACACGACTGAAGCAACTGAATAATAATTTCAGAAATACTTTGCTCTGCTTTTTCCTCATAATGAGGTTTCCTATGGTGGGGAAGAATGCCATAGCCACGAAGAAGTTTGGGGAAGGGTAGAAGAACAATTATAGAACAGTAAAGAACTCAGTATATTAGAAATACTTACATATCACTTGAAGGGGTGGGTTTTGGTGAGGGACTGGGTAAATTTGCTTCCATAATATCATTAAAACTATTGTTTCCTACATTCTTGGCCAGCTGTAACATAAACAAAACACAGCAGAGTGAATGCATTACTACTAGTTTAGGAGATTACTATTACTTGCTTTTGAGATTTCTGAATGTATTATTTTCCCTCAATTGATTCAGAATACAGACCATTCTTCCATCTGGTCAAGAGATAATTTCCTGAGCATATACTGCGTGCCGGACAGTGAGCTTCTGAGTGGAGTTCTGGAACACAGAGGTGGGTAAACAGTGTTCCCCCTCATGGGAGATAACGGACTGGTGGAACCATGGGTAAGAAAACTAACGATTTTCACAAACCCAATGTGATAAATGTTCGACTAGAATAGGATGTGGTCCTACACACACACACAGTCTGAGATTAAACAGCAGGTTCCAAATATGAATCTCATATGAATGAGGTTAAATGCTATTGCTTAAAGCAAAAACTTTTCAATTACCATCATGACTCATTTTTAGATAAAGCAGATTTACTCTTATTAGCCAGAGAAGAGTGTAGGATTCCTTTATATTTGGGGTACAAAGTAAGATGCTACAGGAAATGAAGAGGCCTCAGGAAAAATTTTGCTTCTAGGTTCAAGACCATTCCAAGAAAATTCGTCCCAAAGGGCTTCTGGTCATTCAGATAATTTAGGGATCGATGCAAAGAAACATTCATGCAATCAGTCTCTTGGGCTTCCCTGGTGGCTCAGATGGTGGAGTCTGCCTGCAACGCAAGAGACCCAGGTTTGATCCCTGAGCCAGGAAGATCCCCTGGAGACGGGAATCCCTACCACTCCAGTACTCCTGCCTGGAGAATTCCCATGGACAGAGGAGTCTGATAGGCTACAGTCCATGGGGTCACAAAGAGGCGGACACGACTGAGCAACTAACACTTTGACTTTTCACGACCCTTCCAAGAAACTGTGTTCTTCAGGACAAATTTGGTCATTTGGTCACTCGGATCCTGGGGATCGAAGAGAAGAAACATCCACGCGATCAGGTCTCTGGGGTTTACTGTATTTAAGTGTTTAGGATCTGGACTCTTCCTATTTCAAACTGTCAAACTGGGTTTCATTTACCCAAGTCAAGGAGAGGCACTGACACCTCCTTCATATTACAGAATGTTGCAGGTATTAGGCCTGAGTCTCTCCTCTAAAATGCTGAAGTGAATAGGAAGCCGTGAATAAGCACCATATTTTCTAAACCAAGGGGCTCATGCAACACAAGACAGACCACCACTGCTTAATGAATGCTTAGACCAGGTTTTCTGGGCCCCAGGCTCCCTCAGGTTCTGCTCAAGAGTCTCTCCTGTCCGAGGAGAAGAGGTCCTGTTTCGCTTCAAACCCTTGCAACCTTAGTATAAGGACCCTCTCATAGGCACCAGGTTCCAATTAGGCAAGACGGGGCTGATGACCATAAGGCATTATAGGAGACGCTGAATGCGCCTCCCCCTATTATTTGGTGAACTGTGGGACCAATTTAACTTGGACCTGATGAGGGTGTCCTTTCTGTACCACAAAGCTGAGCACCACAACTGCACACAATTTTTTTCTGACTACCTGAAGAAGTTATGGATTAAGGAGTGGGTTTATGACAGTGGCTAATAGGCCACTCCTAATTCATGTGTACTCTTTTACAAACAGAAAAAAAAGAGAGAAAACTCTTTAGCCATTATTTTTTAAAAATGTAAGCCACTAGATAAACTGAACACATGAGTTTGACATCTAACTCCCTTTACTGTTATGTAGTGCATCATATAAATACTAATTCTAAAAGAAAAAAAAACCCAACTTTGAAACTTTCTATCCCGGAAGAAAAGAGCTGGTTTTTGTCAAGCTAATTATAGAAATGCATGATTCGCCAGTTCTTCAGGAAACAGAAACAGTTAGTGTTACATACCTCAAAATTTACATTTTAAGTATCTATGCAAACTCACTGAACTCAGGAATTATAATTCTTTGTACTCAGCAGAAACCAAAACACCCCAGAGCAAAATATTAAATGTATTCATGACAGGTCACTACTTACCAAGAGTTCAGAAGTTCCTAATTTGTCTAGTTCCAAAGACTGGATGCGAGAAATATGAACCCCCATTTCTCTATGGATGCCGGAACATTCTATACAGGTCAAGATACCCAAGTTGGTGGACAGCCAGGTGGGTTCTGTAGAAGGGATTTAGAAGACATGACATCTAATTTTAGTGTGCAGTTACAGAGGAAGCTACAACAGTAGTAAAATTTTTAAAATTTATAAGGGAAAGATTTAGATGGAAGGTAGCAGCTATTTTTAAAACTAACAGCTTGTCAGAGAGCAAATTTTTCTTAAGACAAATTTGAAAAATCTCTCTTCAATACTGAGCTGAAAACAAAATTCAGTGCTTTGTTTTTGTGAAAATGTGAGGCCTATGAAACACCCTGATAAAGGACTTCTCAGTATAGCTCACACGGGACTGGGTTCTACGGCCATCGTTAACCTTCACACTTGGTTAACTCGCCTTGACCTGTTACCCTGGGTATGGCTTCTTTGCAAGCACCTCTTGGTATAAGACAGCATCTCCTGCAACCCCCAAGTACCCTAGAACAGTGGAGCGAATGTTTCTGTGACCCAAATCTTCAGGCTTCTCTGCCTGTGGCAGCTTCTATTTACTGCTCCTCTGCCGTCCTGACACTGTGTGAGGCAGTGTCACACACGTGCACGCAAGAAGAAAACCTGAGGCCTGCCTCTGAGGGGCTATGGCCCGTTGCATAGAGGAGCCCATTTGCGCTAGTAAAACGATCTAAAAAGTCTGCCATAATGCTTAAGAATGGGTTTGCAGGCTGATGTTCTGAGCCCTACCAGATGTGTGACTTCAGGCGAGTCACTCAAGTTCTCCAGTCCCTCAGTTTTGTCATCTGTGAAATGGGATAACATCAGTTATCCTGCTCAGAGACCTCCTGTGAGGACTGAATAAGAAGACCAGCAAAACAACTGCCACAATCCTTACTATAATGTAAGCACTGGATAAATGTTAGCTAATGTCAATATGCTTTCCAGGTGTCGCTAGTGGTAAAGAACCCACCTACTGATGCAGGAGACATAAGAGATGTGAGTTCGATCTCTGGGTCAGGAAGATCCCTGGAGGAGGACATGGCAACCCACTCCAGTATTCTTGTCTGGAGAATCCCATGGACAAGAAGCTTGGTGGGCTACAGTTCACAGGGTCGCAAAGAGTTGGACACGACTGAGCGACTAAGCATGCACGCAGGGTCAATATGGAAACAACACAGATGCCATCTGAGCACAGAAATCTGGAGGAAGGTGATACCCATGTGATAGAAGGTTGGGGAGGTTTTATGGAACAGAAAGGAAGGAAAAAAAGGCATCGTGTGCCAGCTGATTTCAGAGACACCATTCCATTGCATCCTCGTAACAGCTGAAGCTCATCATCCTACTTTTCAGACGAGGAAACTGCAGATCAGACTAGTTGGGGACCTGGCAGGAGGTGGTCTAGACTCTGAGGAGCGGGCTGGTGATTCGAACCCAGGGTGACGGACTCCACGTCCAGTGGTCTCCCCTTTCCGTCCGTAACGCTTATCCAACTGGACCTTCCAGGACAGGGGGCATTTTGGCAGGTGCTATTTAAGGAGAACGGGGTGGTGGTGGTGGTGGGAATGTCCCAGATGGAGCAAACAGCATGGGTGACCGCTCTCGGAGGTGGGCACCATTCGAGTTGGGAACACGTGCTGGGCATGTATCTGTCCGTAAAGAGACAAGGCGTTCAAACGGCCCGCTCACTCATACCCCGAGCAAGAATACCTGGAGAGCCGCAGTCGCAGCAGACGTCGTTGCCTGGGAGCCGCTGCACATCCTCGATGATGGCTTTTGTCAGGTCCTCCAGGCTGTTCTCCCCTGTGCTCTGCTCCCCCCGGAAGGCCATGGTGAGCGCCTCCTCTTTGCTGTTCGTCAGCACCGAGATCCACCTGCCGTCAGAAACAGGAGGAAGGAGATGTAAGCGCCTGGCTGGCCACTGCATTCTCCTTCCCCTGCAAAAAAAACTTGTATTTTCATCTAGAACTTGTGAAAGATAGCCCCTCGAGCAGTAACAGAAGGGAAAATGAAAGAAATTAAACCTGGGAAAAAAGTCAGAGATTGGGAAACACACAGGAGAAGAGGGTGCAAGGCGAGATGAGATGGTGAACATCAGTGACCAGGGGCTTGTGTGACACACGTGTGTGTGTGCTCAGTCAGGTCTGGCTCTCTGAGACCCCGTGGACAGTAGCCCACCAGGCTCCTCTGTCCATGGGATTTTCCAGGCAAGAATACTGGAGTGGGTTGTCATTTCCTTCTCCAGGGGATCTTCCTGACGCATCTCTTGTACTTCCTGTGTTGGCAGGCAGATTCTTTACCACTAACACCACCTGGGAAGCCCAGGAGATACCTGTATTTACCTGCAGCCAGAAAAAAGGGAGGAAGAGGACTCAGCGTGGGATCAACCCAGTGAAAGGAAGAGAAAGAACAGGTGAGAAAGGAACAGGAGGCAGGAAAGAGGGCTTAGCAAAAGGCATTGTTTTTTGGAAGTCCGTATCAGCGGGGGCACTTAAAAGTGAAAATGAAGGGATAGTTCATTTTCCATGAAAATTTATGCTTACAAAAAAGGTACATTAACATGGAAACATGCTGATGTTTGTTATATGAAATGAAAAGTGCAAGCTATTAAAATATACATACAGCACAACCATAATATGGACCCAACAAAATAACTCTTCACTACCAGTCTATGCATAAAACAGCCTAAATACACAACAACAGAGGTTGATTAGCAGAGTATGAAATAACCACAAAGTGGACTAGTTACTCAAGTACTGAAATTTAAGTTTCCAACTAATTTTTGGATGACACTGGGGAAATGCTTGCAATATAATGCTTTGTGAAATAAACAGGAAAAAAAAACTTATATAATCTCAAATTTAAATGTATTCATGACTTATATATTTTGTGGGGAAAAGGCAAGAAAAAAATTCACCAAAATATTAATACTGGATGCCTCTTGAGTGATTTTCTGTAGGAAAAAAACAGATGGAATGCTTTCACTCTGTACTTTTCAGTAATTGTCCAAATCTATAATTAGTTGTATTTCTTTCAGGAATGAGAGGGAAAAAAGCCCAATTAAATTTTTTTTTTTTGGAAGAAAATGAAAACCATTTCTAAACTACAGTCACTTCTCACCTATTGCACAGACAGCTAATAACCACTCTCGATAAAGAATACAGAGATCCAGAACTATGTCTTGAAGAATGTGTGCACTTGAAACAAAGCCTGTCTACAAGAGGTTTGGAATAAGTAACAGAGCAGTGAGAATTAAAAACCAAATCAACTGGTGTAGGTGAACTGCAAGTTACAACTTTGACTCTAGGTGGTGCTCACCCTCACCATGTCCTGAGAAATAGGATTGTGTAGCTCACCTTTTCCTCTGTGATGCAGAAAACCCAACTGTTCAGACTAAACCAATAGTCCAGGGATGGAGTAGGCAATTACTACCTTGTAAGTTAAAAAATACTTTTTCCATCATGTAGAAAGTGAGAAACTAGAAATTATTCTGTTAAAAACAATGTAAGGATCTAGGTTCTATAGGGCAGGTCACTGTGCATTTTATTAGCAGTAGTGTTGATAATGCCAGAGTTTTCACTTGACTGCAGTCTCTGTATTACTTTCCTTAGGCATTTTGATATTTTGGCTATCTGATATTACCAGTATCTACTATGTGCCAAGTACTTATAATGTTTGAAATATAATCCTCCAAATAAGCCTCTGAGTTAGGGTTGACAATGCTTTAAAGAGACAGAGGCCTAGAGAGATTCAGTGACTTGCCCAGAGCCCTATAGTGGGACTGACGTCAGACTGGGATGAGAAAACAGCTCTACTGACCCCCTTTTTTCAGAGTTCCTCCTGTTATGCCACATTTGCCCCTTTACTTGAGAACTCAGGACAAACTGAAGAAATAAAAAAGTTTGTCATGATGATCCAAAAATATACATTTAACGGACAATTCATTTTCTGGAAGAATAATGCAAATGTGGTAGCTACATTTCAGAAGGGTTGAGAATCAAAGCAACTATTTCTGAAAATTCTTTAAAAACCTTTAAAATTGTTTTAAAGTAACAGGCACATAAAAAAAGTATTAAGAAATAAAATAGTGCATAATTGTGTTTTAATACTTTAAAAGCCACTTTGAGTTTATAGGAGTAAAAAAAAATTGGCACTGTATGACAGGCTTTAGGAAAATGGCAATCCCGTATTCTTGCCTGGAAAATCCCACGGACAGAGGAGCCTGGTGGACTACCATTCATGGGGTCGCAATGAGTCGGACACGACTTAGTGACCAAACCACCACCACCATCGCACATTTCATCTCAAGTCTCAAAATTCTGCAAGCAAGGCCTGTAACCCTCTCACGGACAAGGCTGAGGTGGGATGGCCTTACCAAGGTCCAAAAGCCACTAACAGGCAGGCCGTGGACCAGAAGTCAAGTCCGCCTGACCTCAAACACTCAGCTACTCTTCCGCTGTACCTGCCTCCTTCCTTGGTGGGCCGAGGAAGGGTTTCTCTGTTCAATCCGCTGGACACTTTCACATGAGACAACAGCTCAATGAGGCAGCGGAACTTGCTCAGTGTGACTTGGAGAAAGATGAACATCTCTCTTTGAAGGAGGCCAGAATCTCCTCCATCAAAATCAAATCTCCCATCACCACCATCGGCACCCAGAGAGAATCCCAAAGGGAGCCACTCCCCCAAACATGAATTACTCCAGTGCTGAGTAAAGCCCTCCCAAGTGCAGATGGCGGGATTAGAAATGAAGAAGGCGCAGTCCTTGTCCGCAGAAGCTCCAGTCTCCAGAGGGCTGGGACTGAACCAAGGGACCCAGAGGGGTGTGAAGAGGCCTTTGGGGAGGGAGCAAAACCCCTTGGGCGGCGAGGCTTGAGCAGAACCTTGAAGGGGGCACCTGAGTTGACTGAGCATCCCAGACTAAAAGAAGAGACCCACGGGAAAGCCCAGGGCTGACAGCTAAGCAGGGGAAACCCACCAGGGCGGGTTCTTAGTAATAAAAAGAAAACTTTTAAGTATACTATACAGGAGAGAGAGGTGCTTTTTTCAGTTTAAGGCATTGTGCCGTAATTTCAAAACTACTTACGCTACGTAATCCTGCTCATCTTCTGCCTGAAAGTGATATGTCCTGTTATCTGAAATACAAAAAAGAGAAAAAAAAGAAAAATCTTAGAAAGCAGAATGCTTCAGGTATTAATACAGATTTTAAAAGTTCCTGGGGAGAACACATTAAAAGTAGGATTCTGATATTATTTTTGCACCCTTCTCTTTTAGCAGTTACACGATTCACTTTGTCAATACTGCTTTTCTGAAGAGAAACAGGAATACAACAAGATAACTGCAAACACCACATCAGTGCCTAAGCATTTCTTTTGAAAAACAAGTGGGAAGGGGGACGGGTCCTACCTGGTCAAGTAGATCCTTTTCTTTTTGGCCGTGCCACCCATCATGTGGGATCTTAGTTCCCCTACCTGGGATCAAACCCGCAGCCCCTGCATTGGACGTGTGGAGTCTTAACCACTGGACTTCTGGGGAAGTCCCTCAAGTAGACCTTAGTGAGAAATCGGAGAGTGCTAGCTGCCATAGTATTAATATTTCACTTTCCAATTTGCCTTTCACTGGTTTTTCTTTTTAAAGAATTTCTTTTTGTAAGAATTCATAAATCACAGGGCAGCCCTGACAGTCAGATGAGTCCTGCCCAAGGTTGCTCTCTGGTTAAATCAGGCTTCAGGAAGGGAGGGTTCAAGCCCTGCTGGAGGGTCATCCTCCAAGGTATGACCCACATAAGGAGGGGGGAGGCTGGACCCGGGCAATGTGGGCAGGTGTGCATGAAGGAAACTCTTCCTTAGAATGTGGGATTTACTCTAATGCTTCCAGACACTGAGGTCCAACTACCACTGTCTTACCCGCCTCACTTTCTAGACACTCACTCTGAGACTGCTCCAGGCCAGGCGCGCCCCGCCCCCTGCGAGAAGAGGTGGTGCGTGTGCCCGAGGACACAACACAGGTGCTGGAACCCAAGCGCCCAGCTGAATCCCTGCTTTACTGCTGAGACTTTATGTTAAGTCACTGGACCTTCCCGAGTCTCAGTTTCTTCTTCTGTGAAATAGGAAAATGACAAGGCTTTTGGGAGGATTACCCATAATGGACATAAAGCACCTGGCACATATTGTGGTTGGAGTCACTAAGTCGGGTCTGACTCCGCGACCCCGTGGGCTGCAGCACGCCAGGCTTCCCTGTCCTTCACTATTTCCCGGAGCTTACTCAAACTCGTGTCCATTGAGTCGGTGATGCCATCCAACCATCTCATCCTCTGTCGCCCCCTTCTCCTGCCCTCAGTCTTTCCCAGCATCAGGGTCTTTTCCAGTGAGTCAGCTCTTGGCATCAGGTGGCCAAAGTACTGGAGTACCAGTGGGACCCATGAAAGAGGAAAACAATCTCCCCTCACTCTTAAGACTATGAGGACACAGGTTATCAGTTGAAGGGTAGTTTGGGCCAAGAGCACACTCTGATCCATGGAGGACAGTGACAGAGCACAGTGTCATTGATTTATGACGTCAGAAGGCAGGTCTTGGAAGCAGGGAAATGACTTTTCCTTTCAGAGCTTGACTCTGCAGGGGTAAACTCTGGAGCTGGGCAGAGACAGTGGCATACCTCACTGTCAAGTCCATGTCTGTGCTTCTTTTTTTTTTAATTTTATTTTTTGGTGGTGCTGCACAGCATGTGTGATCTTAGTTCCCCAACTAGGGATTGAACCTGCACCCCTATAATTTGGAAGTGTAGAATCTTAACCGCTGAACCACCAGGGAAGTCCCCTGTCTGTGCTTCTTAACCACAGGTACACATCAGAGTCATCCAGGGACTTCTTAAAAGATACCTATGTTTGGGCATCACATCAAAGATTGATTCAGCAGATGTGGGAGAGAAACGGGAATGTGCTCAGGGAAATCCCTCCCAGGAGATAAAGCTCCTGGTCAAGAACTGGGCTGGTTTACTGTACAAATCTAGACTTTCCTCCACTGCGGATCACTTGTGCCTTCCTACCGCAGGTGAGTTCTGTGTAGAGAGACCCAGACTCGGGAGAAAAGGGACTCACGTGATATCAGGTCAAAAGACTTCTTGTCCTCGGCATTTGGTTTCACCTGGCAGGTGAGAAGGTTCAGCTTGGCTGGTTGCCTGTTGGACTGGACATGACAGAAAACAGAGCAGTTAAATGCAACACTGATTGACGCCCCCACCGGCCCAGCCCCGTGGGCCAGGAGGGTGGGTTCACCATACATCCGATAAGGTCTAATTCACCCTACTGGAATACTTAATCTCATTAAACACGAGGAAAAAAAAAGTGAGGTGGCCTACTCAATGTCTTCTAACTGCGCATAAGTGTCCCAGTGGTTAATGAGGATGGAACCAAGATAATTCATCTCACTTTCAATGACCAGTGGGTATGACCCACAGGACTACGACTTTTTGGAATCCACACATACACAAGTGCAAAGAGTTGACACTTTAATCACTTCCTGTGAAACACAGCTGAGTGTAGTTTCTTTATCCACTCAAAACGACCCCAGTAATCAGTCACTGCAAATCCCATGTCCCAGGTAGCCACAAATTTTAGTTGCCACATAAAATTCACATTACTTCTCCCCAAAAGTACAAGGACAGTTACCACCCATGAGACATTGCTTAACCAACCCCAAAGTCTGGAAAAAGGAAAATATAATGAAGATTCCCTAGCACTTCCCAGTCTTTTGGTTACACATATATTAATAATTCACACAGACTGTAGTCATGCTAATGTAGGCTTTGCCTTAAACGAGTCTCGCCACATTATGACTCTGCTCAAAGCTCCTTCTGGCCCTCCTGCCCACGTCTGTCCTTGGCCACATGCAGGTCAATGCTGAATGCCAGTTTCTGGAAGAAGCTGACCAAGGGGTGAAGGGCCTGAGTGCTCAGGCTGGGCTGTGCTTCAAGAGAAGCCTGCAAAAGTCAGGCCTGCAAACCCACCCCAGCTGACAGTCATCATGCTGACAACCTCCATGCCAGGAGCATGACCACCCAACCAACTTGAGTCTTTAGGGAAAATAGAGGGGGAGGAAGTAGAAAGGGGGTCCCTGGTGGCATATTATGAGCAAAAATACTTCAGACGCACACTGTGCCTCTCATTCTCAATAATGGCCACCGGACACTTAATTTCCGTTTCAACAGCTTCTGAGATCTTCCTCTGTGGTTTCAAGGATATCAGACACAGAAAGGATATTAGATACCCTTTGTCCTGAGTTTATCTGTTCCAAAGCAAGCTCTCTTTGGGGAGGAAGTGAGAAAGACAACCCAGGGATTTCATGTTCTTTGCACGCACATGTGACTTAGGCTTGGAAACCAGATGTCAAGTCCTGTACAGGACGGTTCTGCCTAAGAAGAAACAGTACCCTGTACTAGACTGACTGCCAAACCCAAAATAGGGAGGCAAGAAGGTTGTGGGTCTGCAAATTTTTCTTAGAACAGACCTGGGGTTTGGGTTGCTAAAGGCCTCAAGTCTCCAAAACTGGTGGCTACAACCACAAACTTTGGCTGGGTCCACCGTAAAAGGAATCATTAATCTTCATCCTTTTGTGTGTTGGTAAAATCACTCGATTTCCCGTATGAATTACAAAGACATCTGACAGGCTGAAAAGGTAGTGAGCCCAGTTAATGGTGAGACTGCAGAATACCACATTCCAATGTGGCATCCACATTCTGAAGGAGGATACAGAAAAGCTTAGGGAAGATCAAGGGATGATTAAAGGAGTGGAAAACGGGAACTTTGAAGCGGGTTTAAAGGCATCATTCATTTAGTTGGAGCAAAGAGGCTGGGGCATGAAGGGTTGTCACTGGGGAAGGTCGGGCAGCTGTTTTCCATTTGTACAGATGAAGGAGAAATACCCTCCAATTGTAGAAGGTCTGAGCCAGACATGAGGAAGAACTTCCCAGGCTTACTTTGATTATGCATAATAAGGGGTTTCAAGTTTCTTAACCTAAGTAGAGAAAGCTCTTCAAAGACCTTAAGAATTTTTGAGACACCATTCATATTTGAACGTGGCAGAGGGTTAACTAGATTTCTTTCTCCTTCTCAAATCTTCGTGACTCTACTGTTTATGAACCACCTCACCAGCAGACACAACCAAGTAACACAGACAAAATTTTTAAAAAGGAAAACATACTCAGTTAAATGTCAACCAATTCTGGAAAATTAAACAGCACCATTCTTCTCTCATTTCAAAGCATGGGCTACCTCAAAGTTTTTATCTGGAAGCTTCTGATGATGAGGGTTTTGTGCAGTTTACGTCATTCCATGACTGACCCACAACTTCGATGACAAAATGACACATGATCCTTATTCCCGGGGAAGCCTGTCCAGTCTGCTGAACTGACATCTGCCAAGTCAACATGAACTTCAGTTGACAGACATGTCATGCCTGCAGTGTTCTTCCTCTAAGTGCTAGTGGGACAAATGATCTACCACTCCAAAGGTGAATCTGGAGAGCAGAGAACACAATTTTTGACAGCTGAAGCAGCTGACGTGGCCAGTCATGAGCCCAGGAACACCAGGAAATGGAGTGAGATGCTGAACCACAGTCTACGGACCAAGGGACCAGAAGGCTTGGAATTGTGACAGTCATCACTGGAACTCCAGGTTTGTAGAACTTTCTCAAATTTAAAAGTCCATTCTAGATCTTTAGCACTAATGTACAGCTATACTTATTAGGGAAGGTATAGTCTCTCCTGTCAGTTCAGCAGACTGAAACCACAGACTAAATGACCTGCCCTGGGCTACATCGTTGTTGGACAGTTTAGGAAATGCTTTCATACTCTTTATGTTAAAGGAAAGAAGAAAAAAAAAAACCCACAAAGGACACAAAGGAAATGTGTATTTGTTGAGTCCTCACCGTTGATGATTCTTACCACGCTTGGAATAAAAGCCCCCCTGGGTCAGGACCCCCATGGACCACCTTGAGGCTCCTGATTTCGGCTCCTGCCACTTGGCCTGCGGCTCCCCCTGCTGGCGGCGAGCGGCACTGGCCTCCCACCTACACCTCTGGGCTCCAGCCCCTCCGGCCAGCAAGTCCCCGGAGGGGTGGTCCTGGCCTGACCCCCCTCCCTGGACTTCCTACCCCTTCACACTCTGTACTGCCTTCCAGGCTCTCCTCACTCCCCTTTACCGCCTATCTTTCTTCCCACAAAGAGCACACATCTTTCTGATTTGTTCACTAAAATATGTCTGGCCTGCAGCAAGCACTCAATAAATATTCACCAAATGAATGAACGCATTTCTCAGCCTTACACACACCTAACTCATGTACCGACCTGCGAGGGAACTATTTTTAATTCCGGGAGCTGGTGATGGACAGGGAGGCCCGGCATGCTGGGGTTCACGGGGTTGCAAAGAGTTGGACACGATTGAGCAACTGAACTGACTGACTAAGAAACAGACGTACAGAGAGCTTAAGTGACGTCCCTAAAATCTCCCGGTAAGGCAGCGGCACAGAGCCTGGCGTTCACCCCCCTTCCACGGGAAGGACAGCCAGGGATCCAGCCACGTGCCCCCGCCCCCGCCCCGGGGGCAGCCCAAAGCCGCAGCCCACGAGAACACCTCCTCTGAGAAGAGTAAGGGCTAGAAATAAACAGAGCAAAGGTGCCAAATATGAACTTCTATTCTGGTATCTTCTCAGGTCATTTGGCTTTCACAATCGATGCAAAGAGAAATTTTAGAAGCCTATTTGAAACACCTCTTCACTTAATGCGTTTGACAAGATACAGCAGAAGCCTCTACCCCATCTAAGCACATAAGAAGGGCAGGCGGTCTCTGCCACGCAGCAGATACGAGAGACAGATCCGACCAAGGACCGAGGACACGCCCGGTGCCCAGAGCCTGAGCTCAGGAGGGCATCGGGACTTCCGCGAGGCTCCAGGGGCAGCCTCGTCCCTGGGCGAGGACGGAGGCAGGGGCGGCGCGGGTGAGGCCCCTGGGAGTGAGAGGGACAAGGCAGCAGGCGATACAGAAGGAAACACGGAGGGCGCTGCGGCTGGCGTAGACTTGCGCCCACCCGGGAGCGCGGCAGTTACACTGATGGGACCGCCTCCCAGAACCGATCAGCCCGCCGACGTCTAGGGAGACGGCTGGGGGAGAAGTCTAGAGAGTAAGACTGGTGAGCGATGACAGGGCCTGAATCAAAGTGATGGTCGTGATGCTGAGTGCTGGGGACTCAAGATACTGCTGAAAGAGGTTTTTCAACGATTCCCAAAGACACCTGTATGTTAGCAGGTGGTTCTCCCAGGCCCCGCATTTGAAGGATGAGTGGAAGAGGGGGGTTGGCCACCCCTGTAGGCTCTGAACAGCATGTTTAAAAAGCTCCAAGTACCCCCCACCCCAACATCCTTATGATGTCTTTCAAAAATGACGGCTGTTTCAGCTCTGTTCCCTGAAAAACTTTGAGGCTTGTCCTTTTATAGGTTTTACTGTTCCTTAAAAGAATACATATTCCTGGAAGAAACACTAGGAGACAGAGATAGTGCAAAGCAGAACCTGAACATTACTTGTCAATCCTACTTATATCCAGGGACAGTCATGGCTAATACTTGATTTTTAACAAGATATGCGTGTGTGTGTGAAATGTCTGTTTTTAGAAAAACATGGGTTAGTTCAATTTGTATATACTGTTTTGCAAACTGCTTTTTTCCAGTTAACATTATTCGCATAAGTGTTCACTTTTACATATGTATGTGCATACACACACATGCACACACATACACACATGTGCCAACATGGCAAAGGTACTTGCAGGATTCTGAACATGTTTCTACTCGGTAAGTTCTGGACATGTTCCCTGCACAGAAGTGAGGAAGACATCACTCCTCTGACATCAATGCTCTGCCACCCTAAACAGAAGATGCGCTTCAGCTAGGAAAATCATCACAAATGTGTGCAGAAACAGAATGAATCGATTCTGATGAATGTTCCTGCATCTCCTGAAAGAAAACAAACACCAGACATTTGTCCACAGACAGCTCGGCATGCACCGTGCTGAAGTGTTTTTGCTGGAAGTGTGAAGTCGTTAGCGCAGGCGTATTTCTGTTAGCAGAAAACAGCTGCTACTGGAATTAGCATCCAGAAATGAAATTATTTCCCCCCATCATTCTGCTGGATTGCTCACCACACAAACAAGAAGTGAACATCATTAATTACTTGGGAAATAAGGCTGACCCAGCCAGGCTCAGGCTGCTGGGTAGAAAGAGGTAAAAATAAAATAATAAAGTTCTCTTCATTCCCTAGGTAAATGCTTGCTAACACAGCTGTTTAGATCCTTACACTCAGTTCAATTTTTTGTTCAATATTTATTTAGACACCTACCCTGCCTTAGAGGAACACATATGTTTGGTACACCATCAACAACCATACAACTCCCGGGTAAGAAGTTAGGCAGGCGCTGAACACCTACCACTGAAGAGAGATCTTATCTCCAATATTTTAGTACATTAAAACTTCTGGCTTTTGCAAAGTATTTTGGTTTCTTTGGGGGCGAGGTAGCGGTTTTCATTTATTGAGCACCTAAACCTGATCTCCTGCATCGGCAGGTGGGTTCTTTACCGCTGAACCACCTGGGAAGCTACAAGGGAGTAAGATACCTTAATAAGCAAATTACACAACCTGACATCAGAGAAAACGGAGGCTCCAAAGGCCTGAGGAACTTATCCAAGGTCCTACAGTCGTTTCTGGAGTTGGAGCCCAGGTCTAATCAGCTCCAGAGTCTGTCCTTTATAATTCACAGTGCTGTGTCTGATCTCTTGGGGGAGAGGAAAGTGGTCTCTTCTTGTAGTGATGACATGGACAAAGATGTGGAACTGGGCAGAGTCCAGGTGAGCCCCAATAGAGGCCAATCACAGAAGCCAGGTTATTGAACACACTGCAAGGAAGGGAGCAGCCTGCTGCGAGCGGGGTTTCAGTGCACCTGTTAAAGTCCTGAAGCCGAATGTTATCTTCCGGACTCTGGACAAGATGGAGAACAAGATTCCCTGGAAAATGTCTGTGGGTCTAAAGAGCCCAAGGACAGGGAGAGAGAATCAAATTCTTGCTCTAGTGTGACGCCTGGAGGTGCCAGAAGTGTTCTCCACTCCTAACAGGAAGAAACTCGATTCCTATGAGAGGACAGGTGCTCCGGATGAACTTCATCAAGTCCCTCAAGGCAGAAACAACAGTACAAAGAAATTCCAATAACACGTGAAGGAAGAAGGTGATAGTAACAGCAATAGTGATAGCTGACATTTATTGAGCACTGCTTCCAACCCACATTGTGTTCTAATTACCCGTAGTCAATGAACTCATTTAATCTTTACATGTAGCTATGAATTGGGCATTACTATGAGGGATTTAGTGTTATTTTGACTCAAATCATGGCAGTCTGGGCCCACAGTGATGGGTGATGTCACCCCTATCAGATTTTTACAAACTGATTTTTTTTGGTCACACCATGTGGCACATGGGATGTTAGTTCCCTGACCAGGGATCAAACCCATGCCCCCTGCATTGGAAGCCTGGAGCCTTAACCACTGATCCACCAGCAAAGATGAGTAATCATTTAAGTTTACCAGACCTTGGCTTCCCTGGTGATTCAGATGGTAAAAAAAAAATCTGCCTGAAATGTGGGAGACGTGGGTTCAATCCCAGGATTGGGAAGATCCCCTGGAGAAGGGAATGGCAACCCATTCCAGTGATCTTGCCTGGAGAATCGCATGAACACAGCCTGGTGGGCTACAGTCCATGGGCTTACCAAGAGTCAGACACGACTGAGTGACACTGTGGTCCAGGCTCTGCGAAGCTTTCAGTGAATCCTCTAACTCTCATGACACTGAAAGGCGGGTACTGTTAATGTCCGAGTTGACAAGTGAGGGGTAAAGTATCTTAACAAAAGCTGGCATCAGAGGATAGGACTATTATGTGGTAGAAAGAGCACAGGGATTGGGAACTCAGAGGCAAGCAGGACACTAGCTTCTTAAACCTTCGAAATTAATTTCTCAGGATTATTACAATCAAGTGATACTTCGCATATAATCCTTATATTTTCTTTCTTGCATAGCTGGTTCTATTGTATTATATATTGATACTGCAATGCTCTTGCTAAAAATTTAAAGTAAAAGCAAACAATACAAAGATACAGAAATTTATTTATAACAGCCTAGTGGCTTAACAGAAACACTTTTATCCTTCAGCTTTACGCTAACATTTGCCACAGATTTGTCAGAATTGGTGTTTTGAAATGAAAACACCTCATGCTGCACTGAGCAGATACTGGACATGATCAATATTACTGTGACGGCAGAGTCATTGAACGTGATTCCCCAAGTGCTGCATTACTTTGAATAGTAAACTTAAAAAAAAAAAAACCTGTCTTTGCACAGGTATGTGTGAAGCAGTGAAACTGTAGAAGAAATCTCTGGGGATGTGTGCAGGTATACAGAAAATGGATTTCTTCCAAAGCAGTCAGCTGGAGAGACGAATCATCCCTGGAGCAGAACGCGAGTGTGTGGTCAAGCCAACAGACCATAGCTCACCAATGTAAACACATACTTGACGCTCTCCTAGGTCAACCTGGTAAGAAGAACCTGCCAAAGTGACTGGGCCCTTCCAGCATGAGGGATTCCCCTGTCTTAACTGAGGGGTCCCAAACAGAGGCCCTGTATTTTCTGACTAAAAAAAGCTCTTTTACCCACTTTTCAAAAGATCACTGAATTCCGCATTTTTTTTTTTTCCAGGAAACTGCTGGCCCTGATTTTCAACCTGTTTCTAAGGAATCAGAGGTGTTTGCAAAGTCTGGAGAAGCCAGCTAAAACTGGCCACAGAGATCTTTCTGTGGGGGCAGGTTATGTGATTACAAAGCAATGTAACTGGCAGTAAAAAAGTGTGGCCTGAAGCCAATGAAATGTAGGGACCAGGTTAACACAAACCAGTGGGAAGTGGTCAGAGCTTCAGTGGTGGGGAGACCACTTCCCCTGGGCTGCTCTTGGGGCAGGAGAGGTGGACTCAAAATTTCCAACGTTTGTAGCAGGGCAGGATGCCTGTCAATAGATTTCAGTACCTACAGGGACATCGGAGGAGGAGGTAACACAAATAGCAGCTGCTATTTGGTACTAGTTGGTAACACAAATAGCAACTGCTATTAACTGTGGCCCACACACAGCATGGAGCCTCATTCAGTCGTCACTAGCACCTCTGGCAGTTCAATGCTTTTCTCCAGGCGAATGGTGAACCTGGGATTCAGAAAACTTTAGGTTTTCTACACATGTGTGAAGTTACACAGATTTCTAAAGCATACTGTTGGTTGAAGGAGCCGGCTGTTGAGATAAATTTGGGTAGCATCTAGATGTGTTAAAATTTCAGAACAACCAATAATATTTCCCCAAAGATGAGATGAAAAAGGTAAAAGAACACCTGATTGAGTTCTGGTGAAACAAGAGAACCAGGCAGAACTGAGAAGGACAGGCTTCTTTCGTGAAGGAGTATCCCAGACCCTCTGACTGAATCCCACACATTAAACATTCTGGGGGAGATTGTCAGGCCGGTTACATCATGCGTTTGCTTTCCGGACCACGTGGCCAGAAGACATCACAGACACAAGGGTGGGGAACGAGAGGACACACTTACTGTGGCGTGGGAGATGGTCAGAATCCCGTTCTTGACGGAGCACTTCCTTCTCTGCCACACTTTCCGGATCCTGAGGATGGAGCCAAACACAGCCTGATACAGCACCTGCTTCACCAGCTGCAAGGTGTCATGCCTGGCCATCATCACAAAAAGCCCCCAACCAAACACCACCCAAGCCAGGATCTGGGCTGCCTTTAACGATCCCAGCTGGAGGGGAACTCAGACCAGTAGGCACACACAGAGAGGCACCACAGCAGTGGGTTTCTTCCCCCTCTGGCCGCACTCACGGCACGTGGAACCTCCCTGAGCAGGGACTGAACCTGTGTCCCCTGCGGTGGAAGCACAGAGTCTTAACCACTGGGCCGCCAGGGAAGCCCTCAGCACTGTTGGTCGTGAAAACGGGAGACAACAGAAATCTGACAGCAGGAGAATAAATAAATGATTACAGTCACGTTCGTACCACAGGGTATCCTGCAGGCATTTAAAAAGAATAACACAACTACATATGTGCTGACCTACGCAGATTTTTGAAGCACACTGTTGGTTGAAAAAGCAAGCTGTTTTAAGATACTTTGGGTATCATCTAGAAAAGTTAAGATTTTAGACCTGTAAAACAGCATTATACATTTTCTATACATATATGTATAAACGTATTTCCTTCTTTATTGTCTGTCTCCCTGGTGAGGATGTAAGCTCTATAACGATAAGGACTTTCTTTGGTTCAGAGTTACATCCCCAGTGTCTACAACAGTGCCTGGCCTGTAGGACTCCCAGAAGGTACCTGCTGAACGCATGGGGACAGTCCCTGCCTTCCTCAAACCACACATGACAAGTCACAGGTGCCACCTGTGGACACAGACCAGTTACCACTGCTTCTAAAGAGAGCAGGTTAACTCTCAGACTTACCTGAGGGAAGCATCGTTTGAAGCTGGTGCATGGAAGACCGCGTAAGTGCGTCTCCCTTCCTGAGAGGCTGGGGCAGGGCCCTAGGTTACCAAGCCCTGGGAGCATGCTGAGCACACACGGGCCCCGGGCTGGCTGTGTACGTACCCGTCGCTCTTCTTCAGCAGGTAGCCCTTCTTCTCGCTGCCGTACTCCTTGTTACCCTGAAGCTGGTGCATGCTGTAGCCTCCTTGCCGGCTCTGGGAATCCTAGAAAGGAGATGCCATGGATTAGACTCATGCCGGAGACAATTCTCCACTTCTTGACTCTAGTCTGCCATGGAGCATTTGCCTGGAGCCAAGAGAACTGTGGACTTTTGAGAGTTGCTGGGTCCTTGATCATACACCAGCAGAGGAAACTGGGCGGGTAAGCAATCGCCAGACAAGCTTGAGCTGAGGGCTGGGGTCCAGATCTCCTATTTCTAGTCTGGAAATCAGCTCTACTTCAGAGACACTGCAGCGACAAGCTATTCTAGGACTCAAACTAGTCTACGCTGGCAGCAGAGACGAGTGCAGAAAGGGCTAGGGGAAGCGAAGTGGGCACCAGGAGAAGCTCATGCACCCCGAGAGGTCCTCCTCCGGGGAGACCGCCTCTCCCTCACCTTTGCTGCTAAAGTACCCCCAACAAAAAGGACCCCTTCTCAGTGAGGGACGAAGAACTGCAATAAAACTCTTGTTTTGCAACTAACGAGTACTCTGCAAAAATACACCTATACCCATGCTTTTCATTTAAAAAGATGACTCGGTGGCAGGGAAAAGTGTATGACGTGGTGACAGGACAACACAGATGCACAAGCTCGATTTAACATCCACGAATGCTTTCCCCTCGTTTCTAAAGACTGCACTGTGGAAACGTTAGGGACTGCAGAATGAGAACACGGGGCTTTAGACACAGAGGGAGGACAACACGGTCTGACAAAACGCATTGACTTACTCTCCTAGACTTCGATCAGGAAGGGCAAAAGCAAGAGGAAAAAAAGGCAGAACATTTGAAAATATAGTTAATTTCATTGATCGTCTTATTGTTTATAGGTTAAGCACTTTTTACAACACACAGAGAAAACATCACCGTAAAGATAATTAATATCAGGTTTCTCTCTCACTCACACTTCAGAGTCCTGATAAACTCTGGGTGATAGGATAATAAAACATCTTTATCAAGTTTCATTTCAGGTCACTTGAGAACAGAGGGAAAATAAAGCTGAATGCAAGAGGAAGTACACACTTCACCAAGATTAAAGGGCTGACAAACCGCAACATGTGTATATGTAAAAAAAAAAACCCAGTTCTTTACTTAGATAGCCCAAAGAAAACGACAAATGGTAGGAAGATCCTTTGTTTTCCTACAATTTGTGTGAAGTGAAGAGTATTTAATAAAAATAACCAGCTCAGAAGCAACCCCTGAAACGTGATGGTGAAGCAGCAGGAAGCTGAAGCATCCATTGTTTACTGATGGCTCGTGCAGGGCCTGCCTTCCCGGCCAGGATGACCTCTTCCTGGCATTCAAGATCCTCCAGACCAAACAGTGAGTGCTTGGTGAATGTGAGTAACAGCTGCAGGGAAATCTGTACGGCTATTCCACACACCCTGAGTTCACTGTTCAAAAGCATGCCCCGCATGCTCCCTAAAAACCAGGTGCCACAAACGTGCGGAGGATGCTGGCTGGGACACAGCCTGTCTCGGAACTGGACATTCACCCTTGGACCCCACGCTGTCCTGCTCTCTAGTGTGGGTAACAGAGAGCTGACGGCACGCTGTACCGGGCTCGGTGACTCAGACTAAAGAGGCTGCAAACTCTGCTTGGTTTCTTTGTTTGTTTATTTGTTGGACATGCAGCAAGTGGGATCTTAGTTCCCCAATCAGGGATCGAACCTATGCCCCCTCTATTGGGAGCTCAGAGTCTTAACCACTGGACCACCAGGAAAGTCCCTGCTTGTTTTCTTAATCTGAGTCATTTCTTTAACTGGCCAGATGCCTTCCAGCTGAAATGTAGCATTAGACAGTTTTAATCATCTGGGGAAGGGTGGAACCTAGGAATGTTGAAAAATTCCCCTCCAGGTTTACTTTTAACCAGGGTCTACAGCCTTGGACTCAGGAGCTGTGACTGAGGGACGGAACCACATACCAAACAGGCAAGAGTCTGCCTCCTCCAGTGCCTTCAGGGACACCCCCAATACAACAGTGGGGACACCTGGGATTTTTTTCAAGGAGGCAGCAGTGTGTCCACAATACTAGTAAAGAAATACGAGGACAGAAAATCAGATCAGGTGGTAGAGACCTGAGCCATAAGACAAACATAACAGGCTGGGATAAATGAAACACACAGGGTTCCTGCCTTAACCCAGTGAAATCCCAGGGAAATTACTTGACTACAGAAAATTACTTAACAAGTATCTTTGCCACATCTATACCTCCCCACAACATTAAAAACAAACTCTAAAATCTCCTTGATATAGATTCTTATTAAAAGAATACCTATCTTCCTTGAACTCCTTTTCAATGAACTTCTCTTAATCTGCTCACATAATTCCTAGGTCTGTCTGAATGCTTTAGAACTATTCATCTCTCACCTTAACTGGCCTGTTAACATTTAAGATAAAGATCCAAATTTTAAAAAGTAAAAGTATTATCTTTTTTAAAAAATAAGGATTCATCAATTCATCAATTAAAAAATAATCAATGAAAACTATTCTGTAAACTTACTACTAAGACATTCCTTACGTGTATTTTTACTAGCCTAAATTAACTTTAAATTCTGAATAACAAGCAGACTGAGTGTTCTTTGCTTTATATCAGACTTTTAAAGGTGAATAAAGTGGCTGAAGCCTAGGCTTTGACCCCAGAAGTCTGTTTTATTAAACCAAGCAGGAAGGAAATGATGAGTCAGAAGTAGCATCAACAACCCTAAACTAACTACTAATGAGTTTTATGACCTAAAAAAAGTCACACAAATGATTATGATATTGAGAAATGATGGTTTAGCACGGCACTCCAGATAAACAAAAAGGGGATTCTATTTTTCGAGAAAGTAAATCTTGAAGAATTGTTAACACTTAATAACGAAACAATCTGGAGAAGGGAAAGGCTACACACTCCAATATTCTGGTCTGAAGAATTTATGGACAGAGGAGCCTGGCAGGCTACAGTTCATGGAGTCTCAAAGAATCGGACACAACTGAGTGACTCTCACACATACAATAACTAAACAAAGCATATCTGAAGGAATGAAATATGTTCTGAATCCTCTAACAGCAGAACGGGAACCAACATGTACCGAGGAAAGAGAAATGCAAATGAGAAGCTCATTCAGGCAAGCTATTTAAAACTAAACTTAAACTTAAAAAGCAAACCTTGGAAAATTCCATGATGTGAGTCAAGAGATGTAAACTATAGAATGAGAAAATATGGTGGTATTTTTTTAGCTCAATTTCCCATTCTCTATTAGCAGTACAAATTAGCTTACTTTCTTATTAGAAAACCTTATTAACGTATAAGATGCATTACAAAGGAGCAGAATCTCACATCCTCTAAAACTGCAAGCAATTACACCCTCATTGACTTAATGGCTTATAAATGTTTCTGGCATCCAATTTAAAACTAAACTTCTATTTACAGAAGCTTCAAATTTCTAATGTAAGGTATGAATGGAGTGGCCAGAGGAGTTCTTTTATTTCATCTTACTAAATATTTACTGAATTGTATCGGGGTGCTACGCAACGTACCAGATACTGTGAAAGGAGAGATGAGCAAATACATAGTTTGCAAACTAAGATAGGTTACTGAGACAGACTCAAACAAAAAGGTGGCATTTGGGGAACGATTTATGGATATCATCATTAAAAATATTTTCAACCCTGAAAATAGTATTAAGGCAAACAGTCCTTTTACAAAGTTAGGCTATTATAAAAACCTAAGATAACTAATTTTCCTGAAACATTTGCCCAAAGTCAATAAAGAATTGTGACAAGGAAAAAATGAGTCTACCAAAAATCCAAAGATTCTATTTAGAGTTCAAATTCTTGAAGCTTCCTTTAATGGAGTCAGGTTGAAGCTGGTGGGGGTGAGAAGGATGAATAATTTGATGGGTGACTTTAATTTCTCAAGTCCTTATTTTAGATTACTTTGCACTCTTCCTGAACTGGAGTGTGAGAACTCTCTGGTGGACAGTCTTCTTCCATATTAACAAAGTCATTAAAGATCATTACCTTCTAAACATATTTTGTGATAAGAGATGATAAACACCATCAGAATGGGGACAGGCATGCTATGAAAAGTCAACTTTACTTGTAAAATACTCTGGACGTGGTGTTAATGAAAACTTATTTATTAATTTGGGGTGGAATTAAAATAAATTATGTGGATGGATTTCCTCATGTGTATGAGAGGCTTAGATGCAACTACGCTGTTTAACTAGTATGAGCAGAATAGTCTTTATGCCAAACAAAAAGGGACTGCAATAGTCTTTTTTTCTTTTTTCTCCCAAGAAAGCTTCCATGCACAGGAAAGAGGTAATCCCGTGTGACAAAACAAAGGTAAGAAGTGCTTAAGAACACAACTGCCAGTTGAAAACTGTGTCATTTTCTCCCCAGACAGAGACCTAGCTCTTACCCCTCCAGTTGGGTATTTCTAGTGCTCTTAAACCGAGAAGTCATAAAAGGAGACAGCTTCTCCCAGGGCCGGCAACAAGTGATGTCGGAGGCCTCAAAGCACAGAGCTGTGGAGACCGGATGAGCTGGGTACAAGCCCACACGCCTCCCAGCCCCTTGATGCCCCCTTCCAGAGATCAGCAGGTGCTCAGAGCAGGGCTACAGGCTCCACTCGCTGCATGAACACCCAGGATGTTTATAAAAACTGGATTTAAGGAGGCAGGAGGGTAGAAGGCAAGGTTGCTTTAAGATTAATGGTGCTGGTGCATGCTTGAGGGGGTTTTGCTTTGTTTCTGTTCTGGACTCACTGAACCCCTTTTAGAAACTTTAGGAATTTACAGAGAGTTAGTTTGCAATGTTTAAAAAAAAGGAAGGGGGGACACTTCCCCCAGTGGTCCAGTGGTTAAGACTGCCTTTCTCTGCAGGAAGGGTGGGTCCGATCTTGGGTTGGGGAACTAAGATCCCACAAGATGCAGGGTGCAGCCAACATTTTTTTAAAAAAACAAACAAAAAAATCAGCTTGCAACTGTGAATCCATCGTAATTTCGTAACGGAAGTACTACCTTCTCCCATGCAGTGATGGTGCTCACTGCCCCACGTGCCCTTCACAAGAAGTCCATTCCCTCCAGCTGCACCCCGGGTCCTCCACAGCCATGTCTGGGTTTTTGTCTCAGAAGCAGCATCTCTCACTCCTCCACCCACCCTGCCCTAGGCTGTAGGAGGGCTGCAGACTCCGCTTGAGTCTTTCTGGCTTCTTCGCTTTTCTGGCACCGGCCCTCCCAATCTCTTACAGCCTCCACACTGCTGCAGGTCTGACCGCTGGTTCACACGGCTGACTGTTACCTACTAGGCAATGAGCTCCTTGATGGAAGGGGCCCAAGACGGGTGCCTAGAACAGTTGCTGGCACACGGTAAGTATTCATTAAATGCTTGACCGAACAAACAAACAGATGAGACTAGTAATTAAGGATGTGTATTGCATTCATTTAACACTTACCGTTCACTGTACACTCCATTTCGGCCCACAAGGACAATCTCACATGAATTTTCCTAACTCTGGGGGCAAAAGCTCTATATGCTCTGTCTCAAAATAAGTTCTCTGTTTTTCTGGTAGAATGAGACAGGTTCCTCTTAGATGGCTGGAAAGACCGGGATGATCTAAGAGGAATGGGGGTGTGCACATCAATGCCTACCCTTCAAAGCCTGGGGGGATACTCTTCTGAAGCACAGCTCTTAAAGCCAGGATGGCAAACCTGGTCATGGAACTGGGCACATCGTTTTTTGTTTTTTCACAAGGAGGGAATGGGAACTTAGAGGCTGTTTCTACTGCATTTTAGATGACAGCTGTATCTTGGGTCTCATCTGTCCCCCCACCCCCCCCACCACGACCACCCTGGCAGGAAGCCCTCCCTATGCCTGTTCTGCAGATTAGGATACGAGGCCCTACTCAGAAGGTGAGCCCTGCTGGAAACACAGAGACCACCTACTTCTTTCTGATCGAGTTGAAGGGAGGACTTTATTAGGTCTCGGAGTGCGGTCAGCTGTTTCTTTTCTTCATCCTGGGTCTGTTTGATCTACGAGAGAAAAATATTTCTTCTATCACTAATCTCTCTACATTTATGAGCAGAGTTTAATCCATCCAAATAAACACCACTCATCAAACAATTCAATTATACAGTCGATTTCTTTATTAAAGTCCTTTGCAAGGTCTCATTTTTGACAGGCATGATTTTCTCATCTTCTTAAACTACCAGTGAGGTTGGAAATTAGTGAATAACGCAACATGCTTTCTTATTAGGTAGTACGTCGAGGCTAGACAATTAACTCAGAAGGACTATTTTAAACAAAGGTAAGAAGTTAACACTGAGTCATGTGAGTTTTTCAAAGGGTGGTAGTGGAAATACCATGATGTGACTGAATGGGCCAGAAGACAACCCTCAGAATGACCAGAATCCCAGAGCTAATGCACAGACCAAAGTTTACAAAGTTTATGCAAGGGCAAGGGACTGGTGCTGCTTTGCCTAATTACTTGGAATTTAACTGCAACCTGAGCCACGTTAGCTTTTTCAAGAAAAATCAGAAAAAATTCACAGCTGTGTATTTTTGAAGTTCTAGCAGAATATAAGGCATCATTTGTAACACTAAAACGTTACTTAGAATACATGCAGTTACACTCCTAAATACATACATTTTTTTTTTTAATTTGAAAGTGAATGTTCATTTTTTCCCCCCAAACTTCCAACTTTTTATTTTGTAATGGGGTATAGCCAATTAACAATGCTGCGGTGATTTCAGGCGAACAGCAAAGGGACTCAGCCACACGTACACAAGTATCCATTCTGCCCCAAACTGCCCTCCCATCTAGGCTGCCACATAATACTGAGTAGAGTTCCATGTGCTGTACATTAGGTCCTTGTATATAATTTTGTTTTTTATTTTTTTTAGATCCTTGTATATACTTTTAATATTATTCATTGCCAACTGGTTCATTAAGAACAAATTTGAGATTTCTACATACGCATTTAGTTTTTTTCTCAAAAAAGTTTTCCTCTTGATTTTCTTATTATAAAATCAAAACAGACAGTAGGGGGAAAGAAAAGAGAGGGAATATAAAACAAGCAAGCAAAAAAAAAATCATAAATCTGCTTATTCGGAGATAATCACTTAGCTGCTTTTCTTCCAGGATAAAAATTTCCCTTTGTCTTTCTGCAACTGCTGACGAAAGGGCACTCATGTGATGATACTAAACCCAGAATGGAAAGTCATTCAGAACCAATGGCCATGCACCTGCTCCCTGGCCCGCCATGCTCTTCCTATGTCCCAGAAACATACTCTGGAACATCTGATCAGAGATGATGTCTCTGAGTTAAACTGGAGGGGGAAAACGTGTTTATTAGCCCTAGGTTTATGCTGACACATCACTTAACCTTGTCTTCTTTTCTTTAGCACTCTTAGAATACAGATTGCAAATTTACTATCTACAAAAGCAAGTTAAAGTGCATGCATTTTGTAAAGAACTTACATTATACAAATCAGCAGCCAGTTTTTCAATGTACTGTTTCAATTTATCAGCTGTTTTCAAACCATCTTGAAAGAAACTACAAAGGAAAACAACAGAGATTTACCAGCAGTTTAAAAAAAAAGATATGAACCATAGTTACCTGAAAAATCTGAAATTTCTATAGGTACGCATTAACTCTCTACCCATATACCTATACAAACACTTACAAAACTAATTTCAGTATTTTATAAAGATGTACCAACAAATTATACAGACAGGCAGATTCTTTACTGGTTGGCCATGAGGGAAGCCCAAACTACAGGCGCCATTTGACATATGCTAGCAGGTGTCACGTGGATACTGCAAGCAACAGCGATAGTCCCAACACTCTGATTTATACGAAGTACAGTTCTTCATGGTTGAGCCAAATTTGAATTCAAAAGAGAGACACACAAACCAGTGGAGTAAATGAAGCCGAACTGGACATTAAGGAGAGCAATAAAGGCCAGAGGACAGTCAGCAAGGGTTCTTTGCATTTCCCAAGGTCTCTGTGTCCCAAATATTAGAAACAAAGGCTGTCGAATCAGTGGTACCAATGAATTTGGAAAGCTTTCAGTTCATGAAGACTCACTCACCAGCCACATTTCAAGTGCTCAGTTGCCATGTGTGGCTGGTGGATACCAGTTGAGACAGAAAAGAATATCAACACTTCCATCACTTCAGTATGGCAGAAACCAACACAATATCGTAAAGCAGTTATCTTTCAATTAAAAATAGATTTTAAAAAATTTCCATCACTTCAGAAAGTTCTAATGGGCAGTGCTGCTCCAGGTGAAGAAGAAGCCAACTGAGATTTGAACAGCCTGCAAGGAATGTCATAAAACATACATTTTATGGAGAAAGAGGGATGGTATTGATAAAAATGTGAAGTTCTTTACCAGCAGTGAAGGCGGGCTGCAAGGAGGGATGATCCCTACCAGTCAAAAGGCTGAAGGAAGACCCAGGCAGTTTATCTGCCTACAGTTAAATTCTTCCCAACTGTGACACAGACTAAGAAAAATTGAAGTAAGGAGGAATGATTTTAATCTACAGTATGAAACAATGTTGTAAACAAAACAAATCACATACGTAAATCCAGTAAATTTCCAAGTAAGGAGATTACGAGTCCCCTTCCTCCTCTCTCCATTTTTTTGCCATTAGCTCCATTTTCTAAATATTTTCTTAAGATCATATATTACTCGGGCAAAATAAAACAAAAGAATCAACACTCAGCCTAGGAGGCTGAGGCTGAGCTGAGTCCTTCTCAGATGATTCCTTTAGGGCCAACTTCTGGTTTTTGGAGGGAAGCGGGGGTTGGGGGGTGCCGGGGGCGGAGGGGGCCGCAGCGGAACAACGCAGCCGGACAGTCAGTGACACCCAGTGGCCAGCACCGCTGTCAACAGGGCGCCCCCTCCACCTCCCCGAGCGCCCTGCCGCATCCACGCTCCGCACTGCCGCCTGCCGGCGGGGGCTCGGAGCCACAACCATCCACCGAGGCCCCGCCTCCCTGCGCCCGTCTTCCCTCCCTCTGACCTGGTTCCCGGTCAGTGGAAACGCCAGGCCCTAGGAGTAAAAAGCGTACGGTATTCTGGCTCCAAACCTCACCGTGCGTATAACAACCTGGGGCGGGTTACTGCCCTTGGCTGACCACGAGCATGCTTAGCCCCACCTGTGGATGCTTTCTGAACTTCAAGGGGCATCGGATGAGCCACTACCGATGACAGTGTTCTGCTGACTGGAGAAGGAAACATGAGTGTCAGCTCTGATGACCCATCACTCAGCCTGGACTTGGATGCTTTCCCTACAGAAGCGGAAATTGCCGAGTGACATCCCGCTTGTCCCTTGGCCAATTTCTCTGTAAGTCCCTGAAATACTCGGTAAACTAGGTGATGATGTAATAATAATGGCAGCTAATGTGTAATTGAGTACCCAGCCGCCAGTCACTCACCATTATGCATAATTCATGAAATATCCCTTTTTAAAGGTCTCTACAATCTAACAAAATAGGTAATTATTATCATTAACCTGTAAGATAAAGAAACAGGCTCAGAGAGGTCAAGTGGGTTGTCTAGGGTCATCGAGTCATTAAGTACAGAGTTTGGATTTGAGTATCCATTTTCCCATTTCTGGAGCATAGATAATTAAAGCACAAGGCTGACCTGGGCCCAAATCTTCACTCTCCCACCGAATAACAGCATCATCTCTGGAGCCCTGCGTCTTGATGTCCTTCTACAGGAAGTGAACAGAATGGCATGGACCTGGCAGAGTTCTCAGGAGCACCAAGATAAACTGCCAGGCACAGAGAAACAGCTCAATGCATGATGGCCACAGGCCGGCAAAATGAGCTTCTTCATTTTTCTGACCTTAGGAACGCAGCAGGACTGGTTCATTTTCTTTAAATAAGTAGCTTGAAAGCAACATGACCACATTTTAAAGGTACTGGGTGCAAGAAAAAGGTAAGCTGCTGACTGATGGGCGGAATGACCCCTGCATTTACACTGAGGAGCTAAGACACGCCTCCAGAGGCAGAGAGCAAGCAGAGTGCCCGACACCATCACCAGCCACCAGGCAAGACACATCCTCCTCAGAACAACTCGGAACCTTCTTCATCCTGAGAGTCACCATGTACTTCGCTTCTTTCTTAAGTCGCTCTAAGCAGTGACGGGGAAGGAAAATATTTTGTTCTTCCTTTTAATTTAAAAGAAAGAGAGAGCGGAAGGTCTCCGTGATACCCTTTGGTCACATGTACTGCTTGGCTTAGGAAGAGGTATTGCTTGGCCAAAAGCTGAAAGATTCACAGAGCATTATTTTTGTAAGTTAGGATACCCTGGAATAGCAGACAGTGCGGTTCTAGAAAACAAATTATAAAGCAAAAATCTTAAAAAGCACCCTCTCACAATCCAACCACCAGTCCCTTAGGAAAGCCTCGTTTCCAAGCTTCAGGTTTGGCCTAAGTCAGGTATTGAGTCCCAGCTGTCTGGGTAATAGGGACATTTTCCCCAGATGTATTCTTTGTATGTTCTGCGGTATTTAAGCAACTTGAAAGCAGAGGGGCAGTGGAAGTACTGCTGCTGCTGCTAAATCACGTCAGTCGTGTCCGACTCTGTGAGACCCCATAGACGGCGCCCACCAGGCTCCTCCGCCCCTGGGATTCTCCAGGCAAGAACACTGGAGTGGGTTGCCATTGCCTTCTCCAATGCATGAAAGGGAAAAGTGAAAGTGAAGTCGCTCAGTCGTGTCCGACTCCTAGCGACCCCGTGGACTGCAGCCCACCAGGCTCCCCCGTCCATGGGATTTTCCAGGCAAGAGTACTGGAGTGGGGTGCCATTGCCTTCTCCGTGTAAGTACTAATTAACTGCAAACACATCTTGACAGTTCAGACCCAAAGAGACAGTAGAGAGTGGTAGACTGGACTCGCATATGGAGATTCCTAAAAATACAGACGTCCAGAATTTCTGCAAACTGAAAGCATGCAGAGTTCAAGAATTGGTTCTGCCACCTTCCAACTTTTAAGTTTCAAGAATCTTTGTTTTTGTTTTGTTGGGGTTTTTTTTCCCCATTTAAAAAAGTAAGATAAAATTCATGTAACATAAAATGATACATCATTTTAAAGTGTACAGTTCAATAGTTTTTAGTGTATTTACTGTTATGCAACCACTACCTAATTCCAGAACATTTCCATCACTCCAAAAAGAGCACTGTACCTGTGGACAGTGACCCCCAATTTCTATCTTCCTCTATCCCCTAGCAAACAACAATCTGCTTTCTGCCTCAAAGGACTTGCCTTGTCCGGACATTTCACTTAAACGGAATCACATCATATGTAATCTTTTGCATCTGGCTTCTTTCACTTAAAGTAACAATTTTTTAAGAAAATTGAAGTAAGTTGATTTGTAATATTGCTACTTTCACGCATACAGCAAAGTAATTCAGTTATACATATACATATAAAGTCCTTTTCAGACCTGCTCTGAGTTCTTTAAATCACATGATAGAGTTTGCACCCTACTTCTTAAACCTGGGCTGAACTTGTGTCTAACTGTCTAATTGAATGCATCACAAGTGAAACAGTGCCATACTGGAAGCTGAGAAGTCAGTCTTGTGTGTCTCAACTCTTCCTCCTTCAGTAATCTGAACCAGTATGAAAACAAACCCAGGCTAAAAGGAGTTGGGCTATACAGCCTGTCATCTCTTGCAATCAGCTAGCTGGGCGTTCCAATAATGCTGCAGCCTCTCTTGGTGTCTCAGCTAAGACTACTTGCTGCGGAAACCCCCTTGGGCCCAGATGATCCTGGTGGCTCGGTGAGGCTGCCCTTCTACGTCTGGCCTGGACGTCATCTCTGGAATGTGCTGGCCTGCAGCCGTCTCCCTGGCTTACTCCATTGCGTTGGCGGCCACACCCCTCTGCCACTGCAGCTTTTAATTATGGTCCTGTCCACTGAGTGTGGTGAGGCTTCGCACTGGGGCTCTGATTTGCCCTTCTCAAATGACTAATGACAGTGAGCATTTAATCGTGGGCTTTCTGGCCATTCGTGTATCTTTTTGGGAGAACTGGATATCTGAATTCTTGGTCTATTTTTAAACTGTGCTTTGGTTGTCGTTGAGTTTTAAGAGTTCTTTATACATTCTGGACACTAGACGCTTATCTGATAAACAGTTTGCAAATATTTTCTCCCCTCCTGTGGGTTGTCTTCTCACTTTCTTAACAGTATCCTTTCACTCACAAGTTTTTAACTTTGAAATCCATTTTTATTTTTTTCCCCTTTGGTTCCTTGTGCTTTGTCTGTTTTGACACATATTAATTGAGCATCTATTAAATGACTGTGCCTTTGGGCAAGTTACTGATCTTTTCTGAGCTACAATTTCCTGATTGCTTTTGATAAATTCTAGCTGTTACTATCTGTAAGACGAAAGATGATAAAGTAATGTGTAAAAGTGCTCTTGAGTCTGCAGACCATAATGATACTTGCCACTGCTAGAAGGGGTGGCTGAGCAGTAGAATAATACATTTGTCTTGGAAACAGCATGTTACTGACAATGTTCATGTTGGCAAGTCAGGAGTAATTGGTGTGGGCGATCTGAAATGAGTGACTCAAATTCTTCTTTTCTGCTCCCTTTATTTTTCCATGGCAGCAGCTATATCCCTGCCGGGTACAAGCACTATGATTAAAGATTATCAGAGCAAATTCATTTGGAGCAACACCTGACTTTGTGTTAAAAAAAATCATTTTGAGAACTGGAATCAGGTTCTCAGAATATGAAATTCCACTTTTTAGATCTAAGTAAAATGCTGTACAGGTCCACCCTACATCTGTTAGGGGTTTGGGGAGACTGACTGAGTTAGGAAGGAGGGAGAAGAGTCCTTGAAAGAAAGCTCCACTGGCCTCTCGCTGTAACAGCATCTGTGGGGCTCAACGTGGGGCGGCCAGGGTCGGATTACAACACAGCCCAGCTCTCCTGCCTGATGTCTCTGAATCGCTCTCCCCGCTGGGAGGTGTTTAGTGAGTGGGGTTTCCTTCTGCTGGTCTTTCTCTGCCCTGGGGTAGACGCTTCTACCCGGGTCCAGTGTCCAAATGCCAGCCTTCCTCCAAGTCCAATTCCAAGTACCCCCACCGCCTTCAAGGAGCCCTCAGTCGCCTCTGTAGCCAGAAGTCTGTCCCCTTCTTGATTCTCTGTGTTATCAGTTACTTTCCAGCCGCGTGATGATTCTTCATGTGACTTACTTCCTGCATCACACAATGAACTCCCAAGGGCAGAAGCCTTGGTACGTCGCTGCATCCTAGAACCTAGCAAAGTCCCTGGCTTCTGCTAGGAGACTGATAAATATTTGTGGAAGGAGAAAAAAACAAGAATCAAGGGAAGATGCTCTGCTTTTCACCTTTACCAACAAAGGCTAATATATCTGTAGTTTACATACGTCTTATTTTTGGAAAACTCATGTTTGTGTAAGTTAAATCCTCCTATATGATTTAAGAGATTTTTGAGATCAAAAGAGATTTCTAAAATCAGGTGAAATCAGACTTGCTGCTCAATTGCTGTAATTGAGAGACAGCACCAAATCCTAAACACTGGACCACCAGGGAGCATCTCAAATGTTGCGACTGAGAAGACAGAGAGATTCACTGATTTCTGCACAAGTGTAAAAGGAAGATCTGTGTGGAGGAAAACTAAAACTGATGAAAGATGAAAGATTCCCCCTAAACTAAAATCAGGGACCACCACTACACATTTCAAAGTTTCATAAGCACCCTGTGTGATAAGAAGGCAAAGGTTAGTCTGGGTCTTCAGTATGAGGCTTCTGCAGGTCAAATTATCTTATAAACATGGAACTGTTTCCATTTCACTGTATTATTCTTGTATCTGAAACCTTCATAGAAAGTAGAATTTACTTTTGGAAAGAGGAAAAGATTAAAATCGAATTTATGTAAATAACAAGTTGATTGTTAAAAGTTTGATCTTCCTGAACAGAAACAATCCTGTATAATAAAAATGATTCTTAATTCCACTTAGAATCACCTGAGCAGCAAACAGGCACAGTGCAGCAGGTATACGCATTTTCTCACTTAATTTTAGCATCTTCCCCAAATCCGAGGTGGGTCTACTACGAACCTTAACCCCACCTGACCCCACCTGACAGGTGAGGGTACTGCAGTTTAGAGAAGCGCCTGACAAGGATCACATGGTTATCAGAGCCTGGATTTGAAGTCCCCTATCTGCCCCACTCAAGCCTGGTGCTTTTCCCCTCACATTAATGCTGGCTCCCTTGAATGTTTCCGTTGAACACAAAGGTTTTCCTAGGTATGATATTATAAAAAGAATACAAGAGATGACCAAAGGAAATTACAAATTTTAACTTCTTGGAGAGTAAGCATCTCATCTAGTGTAATACTAATGACTTGTACAGTAGTCTACTTATGACTATGAGAGCTGCCTGGACCATTTTGGAATGTTCATGCACTATTTTTCTCTAAATTCCACAGATTTAGTACAGACTTTAATAGTAATCGGTACATTTTCAGACAGAAATTCTACCATAAAACCCAAGAAAGCTAACCCAGAAAGTAAAGGAGAAGTGATGTAAACGTGGTGCCCCAAGCATAATACAAGGGTGGCCTGCACCGTAAGTCACAACGGGGCCCAAGTAGAACGACTGTGTCTCCCCAAAACACGGCAGCAGCTACGCAGGCACTCAATATGAACACAGAGTCCTGCCAGCGTCCAAAGTATTCAGTTCCACTTAATCTGGATGATGGAAAAAATGAAACAAAAACAGTCCCACGTAGGAATTATGTTGTACACATGACCCAGTAACGGGTAAGATGCTAAGTTAAGTGGGGGAGGGAAGTTACTAGAAAGGCCTCTGTGGTGACAAAGTGACACAGCCACCGTGCATTTGTCATGACAGCCCCAACGACTGTCAAGGCCAATGCCAGAATCTGTAAGACGGCATTTAGAGAAGCCGAACAACTGCCCTTAATTCGAGAGACTGATTTACAGAAAACACAGAAGGTGGAAGACAAAACCATTTCTCAGCATTTGGCCACAGAAGGTCACTACAACAACTATGCACAGGGACCAAATGAAGGCCAGAAGAGAAAGAAGGAAGGAAGCTGACCACACGACGGAGCCCTACATGGGCTGATGATCACAGCTGCAATAGTCCACTTACTTGCACTGTGCGTGATAATACTTTATCAGGTTCTGCAGCAGATCCACACCCTTTTTGGTCTTGATTTCATTAACTTTAATGAGATACTGTGGAAATAAAACAGAATTGGATGTTGGTCATCACAGGGAAGGCTCTCTGGCGTGGGTTTGGGTGCCAGATCACCGATCATGAGTCTGCAGGAGGCGGGGTTGCAGCCAGACAGTGTGAGCTGACTTAGGGAACGCTGATCTGACAGTCACAAGCGTACAACACAAACTGATTAGCGTGTTAGCATTTTATAAATGCTTAAGATTAGTTTACTAGACAAGTGGAAACCAAACACAGCAAAACATTCTGGAATAATGGATTATGCCACCCCCACCCCAGTGCAGTGGATCTCAAACTCATTGTTCACGTGGACAAAACCTGAAAGATGGATTGAAAGACAAATGGCATTCTCTTTAAGGACAATGCTGTAAGATACTCAAACGTTCAGACCAAAGAGGTAAATTGGAAAGTACTTCAGGTGCTAAAAAGGGAAAGAAAAAAAATAAAATAAATTAAATAATGCACTTTCTTGCTTAGTCGCTTCAGTCATGTCCGACTCTCTGCGACCCCATGGACCATGGCCCGCCAGACTCCTCTGTCCCTGGGATTCTCCAGGCAAGAACACAGGAGTGGGTTGCCATTTATGTGCTAAATATTATTGGCTCTGATTTTCACGACTGGCCAAGATTTTTAGTTGATATTGTTTGCTTCCTGTTCACTTGTTTATGGTGTGAAAGCGCTCATGAACAGATAAACTCCCAGAAGGAGCTGAAGGCTGATGAGGGGAGGACAGGACAGAAATTTAAAAAAAAATAAAAAAAATGAAGGAAGAAAAACTCGAAACTGAGAAAATTCTATCTACCTTAATATTTTCTGAAAACTGCCCCCCAAAAAAAAAATTCCATTACTCAGTATCAGAGTGAGTTGGTCTCTAGGTCAAGGAATGCCAGTGTTCAATGGGAACCCAGTTTGAGAACCACCGCTCTAAGTCTAAGGTAACATGCTTTTCATCGCATTTTCCCCCACCCCCCCACAAATTCAGACTTTCTTAGTGACTACTTCATTTCAGTTTTTGTTCAAACTGGACACAGGGTTAAAAACAAAACGCCATGCTGCACAACCTGTACTAGTAAAATTTAATATTCACTACTGTTACCTTTCACTCCTCAATTTTTTTTTTCCACACTCACTCACAAGCAATATTAAAGTTCTCACCAAAGAATCCCGTTTTGGCTTAAAGAGCCCCTTAGGACCCGGGCTCAAAATATGAGACAACAGGGAGACGGCAGATCCCAAAAGGCTTGGAGAAAAGTGGAGATTAGAGTCCTTGAGAAACAGTCCCCTCCTCTGATCATCAAACCACAGCCCGCGTTTAAGCATAAAGACGGCTGACCAGCAGGAAAGGCGAGGGGGAACCGCGTCCGAGGCGTGGGGCTGACTTCAGGCCGTCCTTACCTCACACATCTGGAGCTGGAAGAGGCGCCGCTCCTTCTCCATTTCCTCCGCGATCTCGGCACCAGTGATCTCCGTGCGGATCATCCCGTGCTGCTTGGCGTGCTCCCTCTTCTCCTTCTCAATTTTGGTACTGTAACCAAAGCAGACGCCGTCGTTTAAGAACAAAAACCCCCCACGCCTGTCCTTCCGTTAAGGACAGCCATTCGACTCTTTCTTCGTTACTAGGCTCTTAAATGGACAGCATCGATTGAAAGTTGAACATCTTAAGTTCAGAGAGAGTCAACACATGGCATGCATTTTCCCCAAGGACACTGCCTGTGTTTTCACTGTGATCTCACCCTTGACAGGATTCACATAAGTTCTCTTCCATGCTGGTTGGCATCAAGTCACTGTGACAGCTGACTTCTTCTGCAGTAAAGCACTTTACACGATGCAAAAGAAATCAGGAGGTTGGAGGCCTCAGGCATGTCTTGATTATTAATAGATTATAAGACTTCAGAGTTATTTCAAGAGTATATAATGTGTCTTTGGAGGCATGCACAAAAGTTAGCCGAAGGTAATATTCAATATTTCTTTAAACATAGGTTGTTTTTCACTCCCTAATGATGTTTTAATCATTTAACCACCTGGCAATGGATTGTACACAGTCAAGATTTAGGAGAAATCCAAATCTCTTATTTGGAATGCTGTGAAAATGTTCTTCATTTGGGAGGAGGCCAGGAGGGAGCGAAGGAAATAAGCGCGGGGAAACCACATTAAACTGAGAGTGCCTGAGGGGGATGCTTGGCTACTCCAGATAATACTCTGATATCGATATCAATGGCCACAGCTCTTTTTCTAAAAACCCATTTAATCTGAAAGCAGACTTCTAATTTCTTTCTTTCTAACTCAGACTTTCTTAATGACTGCTTCATTTCAGGTTTCATTCAACTGGTGGTGGTTTAGTCACTAAGTCGTTTCTGACTCTTGCGACCCAATGGACTGTAGCCTGCCGGGCTCCTCTGTCCCTGGGATTCTCCAGGCAAAAATACTGGAGTGGGTTGCCGTTTCCTTCTCTAGGGGATCTTCCCGATCCAGGAATCAAACCCGGGCCTCCTACATTGCAAGATTCATTCAACTGGACACACGGTTTAAAAAAAAAAAAAAAAAAGACGCTACATACCTCAACCAGTAAAACTTAATATTCACCAGTGTTATCTCTCACCAAAAATTCTTTTCCCCCACATTCACTCACAAGCAATATTCAAGTTCTCACCAAAGAGAGCCTATCATTTAGAGTTGTGACAGCAAAGACTGACCTAGCCTTTGAGTTTTCTTTTAAATTGAGGTGGTGGGAAATCAAACCCCAAGAAAGCCAATATCTTTGCCAAAATACAAACACAGTAGAAAAATCGAGCCATCAACTCAATGAAAAACTTACAAACTGGGCTGAGATGCGCTGTAATTCGCCATATCTAAGCAACTCTTCCATCATGAACCTCACAGGTTAAATGGGTGTGAAGGCAGGGATTTTACCAGAAGGAGAATAAGCCTCAGTCCTCTCTTCACTGGTGTGGGTGGGAAGAGAAGCAGGAAGCTACAGATTCTGGAGAGGGCACATGAGCAGGGAAAAACCTAATAGTAATGACAGACTGCAAGGAGATCAAACCAGTCAATCCTAACGGAAATATAAGCCTGAATATACATTGGAAGGACTGATGCTGAAGCTGAAGCTCCAATACTTTGGCCACCTGACGTGAAGAGCTGACTCATTTGAAAAGATCCTGATGCTGGGAAAGATTGAAGGTGGGAGGAGAAGGGGACGACAGAGGATGAGATGGTTGGATGGCATCACCAACTCAATGAACATGAGTTTGAGCAAGCTCCAGGAGATGGTGAAGGACAGGGAAGCCTAGCGTGCTGCAGTCCATGGGGTCACAAAGAGCAGGGCCTAACTCAGTGATGACAGACTTTGGGTTAACATGGTGATGACCATGTGCACTTATTTATTCTTCCTTCACCAAGCTCACTAAAATGATAGGAAAGTCATTAAAGAAGTATAATTTCCCAAAGACAGGAACTGGAGACCAAAAAGAAAAAAAAAAAAAAAAGAGAGAATTCAACAAAGATTTGGAAGAGCAGGTCTGAAGAGAGAAAAGTCTACACCCCAAATGACAGGGTCCCCTGCCTTCTGCAGCTTCCAGGACAATATTCACTCACTAGATGGGGGCACGAGGGGCTGGGTGATCCCAGAAGACAGACCTCTGGACACCGACATGTAGAATAATCCCGATTAAAAAACTGGCTTGACATCCCCAACCTTAATACCTAAAGAGGCAGCTCTAGCTCTCTCGAGAAACCCTGATATGTACACGACCTTTCAGTGAACACCTGGGTGCCTTGCTCTGAGATATGAATGGGCAGTCAGGGACAATAAGGATAATTGAGCAAAGGTCCCAAAATGAAAGGGAGAGGTCAAAAGAGACAAACAGCAGGGCCGGGGTGGCATAGGGAACCAGGAGCAGTAAGAAAGCAGAAAAAAATTTATAAAAGGTAACCAAATCCTCAGAGAGCTAAAACAGTGCCTCTACAAAACAAGAAATTATTAAAAAAAAAAAAAAAAAGCTCCCCACAATCCCAACTAATTGAGAAAAAGAGCTTTTAGAAATTTAAAACATGATAGCCAAAATAATACACATACACACAAACGGAAACATTGGGGAAAAAAAGGTGAAATAACCTAAGACATAAATAGGACAGAAAAGAGAAGAAAAGTATAAGGACAACTTAGGAAGTCCAACATTGTGTGATAAGGTGTGTTGGTTAAACAAAACAAAACAAAACAAAACAAACCCTGAGGAGTCACATGAAAAGTTTCCAGACTTCTCGTGAAGGACTGAAAAATGACAAACCGACGGTCAGTGCACACACCATGGCTTAAGAAGCAGCTCTGTAAGACCACTCATAAAGGGAGGACTTGAACATTGTCTAACTGAAAATAAACCAACCATGGCCCCCCCTAAAACCTCCATGTATCACACACATAAAGAAATGGGAATCAGAGACATCTGATTTTTTTTTTTTCACTAGCAACAGTGGAAATGGCAAAACAATGAAGTAATGCTTTCAACATTTTATGAGAAAATGATTACAAAATTAAAATTTTATATTCAGCCATCTCTCAATTTTGTGTGATGGCAGAAGGAAGGGATTGCTGGACATGCCAAAACCTGAAAATTTCACCTCCTTTAGAGCTGCTCTCTGGGAAGGGCTGGAGGTGGCGTGAAAGTGAAAGTTGCTCAGTTGTGTCCGACTCTTTGTGACCCCCTGGACTATACAGTCCATGGAATTCTCCAGGCCAGAATAGTGGAATGGGAAGCCTTTCCCTTCTCCAGGGGATCCTCCCAACCCAGGGATTGAACCCCAGTCTCCTGCATTGTAGCTGGATTCTTCACCAGCTAAGTCACAAGGGAAACCCAAGTATACTGGGGCAGGTAGCCTATCCCTTCTCCACCGGATCTTCCCGACCCAGGAATCAAACCAGGGTCTCAGGCATGGCAGGCAGATTCTTTACCAACTGAGCTGAGCTCTCAGGGAACCGTCAGGGAAGAGGCGGTGTGCTCACAAAATACTGGGCCTACCACGGCAAGGAAATAGGTCTACCACTAGGGGGAGCCCCAGGGTGAGAGCCGCTCTGCTGACATCTCTCTCTCTAGGCTCTCAGTTGTGTCCGACTCTTGTGACCCCACGAGGCTCCTCTGCCCATGGGATTCTCCAGGCAAGAATACTGGAGTGGGTTGCCATTTCTTTCTCCAGGGGATCTTCCTGATCTAGGAATTGAACCTGTGTCTCTGGCATTGCAGGCAAATTCCTTAACAACTGAGCTATGAAGGAAGCCCCTCTGCTGACACAGGGGGCCTTGGAAGGATGTCTCCAGGAGGGGAAAGGAACTGACAGAGAATTTAATGATAATAGATATTTAATCACCGTAATAACATACATCATGCATTTGCTCAGCAGCAACATTAATAGGTATTGGACATCTGCTGGGATAATAAAAATTCACAATAGATTCATGTACAACTGAGTACATGAATAAATGAGGCAACTGATTCATTAAGAAAAAGCAAAAAAAAAAAAAGTGGGAATTCAATCATAGCACACCTTCAGACTGACAATACATATTTATTTAATATTTGACCCCTTTGTAAGACATATCAATAAATGGCCAGTATGCAAACAAAGAAGTGATTCACTGGTGATCACAGAGATGAAAAATAAATACCCAATTAAGATGGACAATCTCAAATGCTACTGAAGATGTGAAACAATGAGAACTTCCATACAATGATGGTGTAGTAAAAACGGGGCGAACACTTTGGAAACCTATTTGAGAGTTTTAAAAATGAAATTAAACATATATTTACCCAGTAACTCAACAATTCCCCCACTAGATATTTATCTAAGACAAAGGAATCCATATTTGGACAAACCCATCCACAAAAAGACTAATGCATGAACGTTCAGGACTTCCCAGATGGCGCTAGAGGTAAAGAACCAGGCTGCTGATGCAGGAGATGTGCGTTCGATCCCTGGGTCAGGAAGATCCACTGGAGGAGGAAATGACAACTCACTCTAGTATTCTTGCCTGGAGAATCCCATGGACAGCCTGAGCACATATACATGTTCAACAATGCATATTTATACTCACAAAAATGTAATCACTGACAACTGGCTTAAAACACAAATCACTGTATTTATCTTACTGGACAATTGGAGAGCAGGTGGGGTGGAAAGTGATGGGGGATGGTTAAACAAGGGTGATGAATCCTCACCTATCACGGCAATACAGTACAGACGGACCAAGAAGGGACAGCAAGAGAAACCTGAGGGATGTGGGGAGAACTCAGGAGACCCACCCTCCTTGTAATGACTCAGTTCTAACTCCTTCCTGCTGTGTGCAGGTGCCCCTGGGCCTGGCAGTCCTGTGAGCACTCTCGACCCACTCACACAGGGCAAGACACGAGGGCCTGACCCCATGGCCCCCAGCCTTCACTTACCCTGGCTGGCCATTTTAGGAACCCTTCTGTTCTCAGCAGCATTTGTCACCGTCACAGCACATTAGAAGCATTCCTTAGGCAGCAAATCCTCGATGATGTGCATATTACATAAGCAATTACAGAAGTGGTTTCGGGGAAAACATTTTAATCCTGATTTTGTTTTTCTTTGGCTTGTGTTTACACTTTAATGTTATTGCTGCCTACGGAAATGCTTTTATTCTCTTATGTTTATAGTTATCCAAGTTTATAGCCAAGACGCTTATTAAATGCTTTTAAACACATTTCTCCTCTCACCCCACCCCACCCCACCGCCTGGTGTTATAGATGTCTCAGAGTACTAATAAGAATCACTACGGATGGTGACTGCAGCCTTGAAATTAAAAGATGATTGCTCCTTGGAAGAAAAGCTATGACTGACCTAGACAGTGTATTAAAAAGCAGAAACAACATTGCCAAGAAAAGTCCATCACGTATGAGCTATGGTGTTTCTAGTAGTCATGTCTGGATGTGAGGGTTGGACCATAAAGAAAGCTGAGCTTTCCATATGAAAGCTTTCCATTTAAGTTCTACCATAAAGAAGAACTGATGCTTTCGAATTGTGGTGCTAGAGAAGATTCTTGAGAGTCCCTTGGACAGCAAGGAGATCAAACCAGTCAATCCTAAAGGAAATCAACCCTGAATATTCATTGGAAGGACTGATGCTGAAGCTTCAATACTTTGGCCACCTGATGTAAAGAGCCAACTCATTAGAAAAGACCCTGATGTTGGGAAAGACTGAAGGCAGAAGAAGGGGCAACAGAGGATGAGAGGGTTGAATGGCATCATTGACTCAAAGGACATGAATTTGATAAACTCAGGGAGAGAGTGAAAGACAGGGAAGCCTGAAGTGCTGCTATTCATGGGGTCACAAAGGGTCGGACATGACTGAGCGACTAAACAACAAATAATAAGGAAGGGATGTGGATAGCACGAGGATGAGCCAGGTCCATGCTGAGGTCTCACGTGCAGTGTCTCCCTGATCCTGCACGATCACCCCAGAATGCAGGCTCTGGCTGCAGCCACGCCATGCTGCTCCGGGGTCACAGAGACCAGAGGGGAAGCCACACTTACGAGCCTCAGGACCTTCTGAAGTCCCTTAGCCTTGCTGAGCTTCAGCTTCCTAATCCACAGACAGGCAGTCCATGTGCTGTGAGGGGTGCTGTGAGGAGGTCACGCATGTAAAGCATTGTGCTCAGGCCCTGGTGGGCAGAGGGACATTACCATTGTTGTGTTGCCAAGTCATGTCTGACTCTTTGCAACCTGGTGGACCGTAGCCCGCCAGGCTCCTCTGTCCAAGGGATTCTCCAGGCAAGAATACTGGAGTGGGTTGCCATTTCCTTCTCCAGGGGACCTTCCCCACCCAGGAATCAAACCTGCATCTCCTGCATTGGCAGGTGGATTCTTTACAATGGAGCCACAAGACAAACCGTAGCTATTCGTTTATTTCTGAGTTGCCATGTTACCCAAAAATGGGTAAATGGTCTATAGTTATGCGCTAACTATAATGAAAGAAAAACTACAATAGTCATAGACCTATAACTTGACCATTAGTACCAGCCACGGACACCAAAATAATCGATAATGAAAGTACATCTCACTCCAGACAACCAGCATGGGAGGTGTGTAACCACTTCTAATCAGGTCAGCATACTCAGCCTCATGGTCCTTACAAGGATGGACTCGGCAGTTTTCTCCTAAAGGAATTAGTTCAAGACTCTGTCTTTATTTTAGTTATTCTTTTTCTTAGAACACTTAAAACAGTAACAACAAACAAACAAACAAAAGAAACCAATAAAAAAAACACACTTACAACTTCGTCTCATAATCTTTCCAAGCTTTGTCAAATGGCTTCTTGAGATCCTTAGAAGGGAGAAAATAAAATTGAGATTAAATGTGCTTTTGCTTAAAGGTGAATCATTTTCAAATCACATCTTAGCAGAAACAATTTCCATTACAGAACACTGAAACTTTACACAGGACACTTTCAGGCATACCACGTGACTTATTACACCCAAGAAAGCGGAGAAAGTTGTGGCGCGAGTGTTCCCGGTCAAAACTATGAAGCAGTACCTGGTGCTTCTGAGAGGTGGGTCCACTAGGATGGACCCCAGACTCAGCACAGACCACCCCCCCCACCCCAATCTTCCTGACAGCATCTCATCCTGTTTCTCGGTCAGTAACACTGTGTGAGCCGGTGTGTTTCTTCTAATGACCACATTCCAACAACACTTTCTATGCTGAAAATGTTCAGGGTGCCTTTCAGATACGAGAACCACTAGGATCTTTGAAGACAAAACAAATCGATCCTTTGAAGCTGAAGTGAAAATCGAACTTTGGAACACTCACGCCTTTGACTCCCTTCAGGTCTCCTTTCAACAAGGAATCCAAGGTGAAGATCACATTGTGGCTCAGGCCCTGGAGCTGAAAAGCAAATAAAGACGGGAGACGGTTAAAAAGGGGAGTGCGCAGGGAACCGCAGAAGCAGCTGAGGCTCGGGGAGCACCGTCGGCCCCAGTCAAGTATAGACACCATGAAATGAGGGCAGAGACCTTGATCGCCCTGCTCGCAACTGTATCCTCAGGGCCCAAGTTCTGTTAAGAAAGCAAGCTGTTCAGGGGTTCCCTGGTGGCCCGGTGGGAAGACTTCGTCTTGCCATGCAGGAGACACCAGTTTGATGCCTGGTCTGGGAAGACGCCCACACGTGCAGAGCAGCTAAGCCTGCTCGCTGCAAGTACTGAGCCTGGGCTCTAGAGCGCACGAGCCACACCAGCGAGCCCACGGGCTGCAACAGCTTAAGCCTCTGCGCCGGACAAGAGAAGCCACTGCAATGAGAAGCGCGCACAGCACGATGAAGAGCAGCCCCCCCCACTGCGACCAGAGGAAGCCCGCGGCAGCAGCAAGGGCCCACCGCGGCCAAAAAATAAAACAGACCTGTGCGTTTCACGGCGGGCAAATTTAATCCCAATTTCAAAGAAATAATGTAGTCTCCTAGCCATCTGATTTACTGAAGTGAAGTGAAAGTCGCTCAGTCGTGTCCAACTCTTTGCGACCCCATGGGCTATACAGTTCGTGGGATTTTCCAGGCCAGAATACTGGAGTGGGGAGCCTTTCCCTTCCCCAGGGGATCTTCCCGAGCCAGGGGTCGAACACAGGTCTCCTGCATTGCAGGCGGATTCTTTACCAGCTGAGCCACAAGGGAAGCCCCGATTTCCCACTTTTTAATAATCCACCTGCTGATGCAGGGGACACAGGTTGGATCCTTGGCCCTGAAAGATTCCCACACATGCCACAGAGAGATTAAGCCCACACACCACAGCTACCGAGCCTGTGCTCGGGAGCCCGCCAGCCACCACTGCTGAGCCCACGGGCTGCAACGACTTAATCAAACCCCTGCACTTGGAGCCTGGGCTCCACAACTAGAGCAGCCACCGCAATAAGCCCGCACACCTCAACTGGAGAGTAGCCCCTCCTCGCCGTAACGAGAGAAAGCCCGTGTGCCGCAATGAAGACCCAGCACAACCAAAAGAAAAAAAAAAAAGCTACTGAGCAAGTGGAACCTACAGCTGGAGGGGTTTTTCTCCCCACTGTTCCAAGGCAGTGGCCTGGGTCTCCTTGATTTCAGGATGGAGCAGAGAGAAGTCCACAGGAGAGAGAGGGGGAGGGCTGGAACCAGCTGGGAAGCAGGGGGACGGGGTGGGAAACCAAGGGAAGGACAGTCTGGTGTGCACACAGTCAGGAGAGTCAGGACAAGGAGAGTTTACGATACAGTCTGTCCTCAAGGAGACCTAGGCATCTCGGGGAAGTCAGTTTCAGCAGTGTGGAACCAAGATGCCAGGGACCCATAGCACTGGTTGTGGATGCAGAGGCTCTGGGTTCACTCATTCGAGAGGTCACTTTGCTCACGTGTTAAATGTATTCATTTGTCAGGTCACCCACCCACCCTCTCATCAATCATTGACCAAGTACCGACTCCATGACACCTGCGATGCTGGGGCTGAGATAGGGGTGTCGTGATGTCTAAAATTCCGCCTGCCTCCAGAGAGCTTGCACCCTGGGGGCAGATGCAGTCAGCATGCAGCCAACTCTACCATAGGATGATGCCACGTGTTTATCGGTGACAGAGGGAGAAAGTGGTGTGTGAAGGAGCAAGGCTGACGCGTACAGGCTCTGCATGGGACCCTCTTAACCACATCTTTAAAGCGAGGATGTTACAACCTGTTGTGGGTGGCTGCTGTGAAAATGCAGTGAGTTCACGAACAGGGAAAGTGCTAGTGTGTTCCCTGATAGTTGGGAAAAGCTGAAGACGTGTTTACTTTGAAAATCCTACAGGATGTTAAATACAAATGAAGGCAATGCGGTGCTGAAGCTGAAACTCCAATACTTTGGCCACTTGTGCAAAGAACTGACTTGTTGGAAAAGACCCAGATGCTGGGAAAGACTGAAGGAAGGAGGAGAAGGGGACGACAGAGGATGAGATGGTTGGATGGCATCACCGACTCAATGGACATGAATCTGAGCAAGCTCTGGGGATCGGTGATGGACAGGGAGGCCTGGCGTGCTGCAGTCCATGGGGTCGCAGAGTTGGACACAACTGAGTGAATGAACTGAACTGAAGGCAATGTGGGAGCAGAGGCGGAGAGGTGGGGTGGGGAGATCCTCTCTCCTGCCAGGAACACCTCCCTAGCCCTGGCCCGAGGTTCTCATCCGAGGTTTCCTGCAGCTCTAAGTCACTCCATGTTCTGCCCTCCCTGACCACCAGTGTGACACACGAGGACAGTTTCCTACCACTAGAGGGCTTGGACCAGAAACAACCAACTCTTTTTTATTTCAAAAACAAAGAGATTCCTACCAAGACCACCTCATCTTTGCCATTTCACCATCACCCATGCAGAGGAACAGCTGGGCTGGCAGGCCAGATGCACAGTCTGGGGCGCTGCTTCCAGGGGGTCTGGGGCGCTGCTTCTCAGGGCGTGGGGTGAAAACGACCTCAGATATTCTAACGGTTTGTGGCTTTCCAATGGCTCACAGTATGTAAACTGAAACAGAGAATACTGCAGTATTCGAATTTCACAGGGGAAATTAGGAAAGAAGTCTTAAGAAAAGCTCTGGGCTTCCCTGGTAGTACAGTCTATAAGAAGCCGCCTGTCAAAACAAACAAACAAAAAAAGAATCCGCCTGTCAATGCAGGATACACGGGTTTGTTCCCTGGTCCGGGAGGATTCCCCATGCTGCAAAGAACTAACCCCATGTGCTATTAAGCACTGAATCCAACAAGCTGCAACTACTGAAGCCCACAACCCCGAGAGCCTGGGCTCCACAAGAGAAGCCACTACAGCAAGAAGCTGGCACGCCGCGACCAGACAGTAGCCCGCCCCGGGCACTCTTCACAACTCGAGAAAAGCCCACACAGCCACAAAGACCCAGCACAGCCAAAAATAAGTAAAATTATTAAAAAAAAATAATAAAAATGCTCCCTGGGGTGGAGGCTTGCAGGTAATAATGAGGAAAAACAAGAAAGGGTGAAAAACACTGGCCTTGGGTCTGAGATGGGGAAAAATCAAGATTAAGAGGATTCACTCTCTGTCCTAGACAGATAGCTAGAGTAATATTTTGTTCTGAGTCCTCAACAATCTCATTCCTGGGCCACAAGCCCCCTGCGTCCCACTACCCTGTGGTCTTGGGACTTGGGGTCACATCCACCTTGTGTGGACGTTGGTAAGTGAGGTAGGGACCTCCATTAATCAAGGCAGAACCTACCTTTCCTGTGTTTGTGAAGATCCTTGCATTCCTTTCTTCTCAACCTTTACCACTCTAACCATTTATAAGTGTATTTGTTTCCTTATGTGCTTTATTGTGTTCCCAATTTGAATGTGGGCTTCTCTAGCTACTCAGACAATAAAGAATCCGCCTGCAATGCGGGAGACCTGGGTTTGATCCCTGGATTGGGAAGCTCCCCTGGAGGAAGGCATGGCAACCCGCTCCAGTATTCTTACCTGGAGAACCCCCATGAACAGAGGAGCCTGGTGGGGTATAGTCCATGGGGGTCACAAAGAGTCAGACATGATTGACTGGTTAAGCACAATTTGAATGCAAACTCTTTGAGAGTGCAGTCTGCATCTTCACTGCTGTGTTTCCAGAATTTAGAACACTGCCTGGCACAGAGCAGGTACTCACTAAATATTTTCAGAATGACGGAAACACAAAGTCACGTGTGTACAAGGTTCTTCTCTACAGGAATGTTCAGATTGAAGGCAAGTTTAGTATTTATCGGACTTCCCTGCTGGCTCAGACGGTAAAGCGTCTGCCTACAATGCGGGAGACCCGGGTTCAATCCCTGGGTTGGGAAGATCTCCTGGAGAAGGAAATGGCAACCCCCTCCAGCATTCTTGCCTGGAAAATCCCATGGATGGAGGAGCCTGGTGGGCTACAGTCGAGGGGGTTGTAAAGAGTTGAACATGACTGAGCAGCTTCACTCAGTTCACTTAGTATTTATCAGCAGAGGACCAGTTAATAAATGATGAGAGGTTCTACCATAGCCATAAAGACGGGCAAGTTTTTTACGTCTGACTTTGGAAATACCTCCAAGATAAACTGTTTTGTGATAAAAGCAAAGTGAAAAACAGTATTCATGGTGTACAAGGATTTACACGAAAAGAGGGAAGAAATATGTCTACGCTCAAACTATTTCAGAGAGGATACAGACTACACCGCTGATGGTCCCTTCCAGGGATGGACACTGGTTGGAAGAGAAGCCTTGACTGAGTACCTTCTGCATCTGGGGGGAGGTCGGGGGAGGGATAATCTGGACTGTGCTAGTGATTCAAAAAAGGTGAAAATTCCAAAACAGAAACATGAAGAGACAGTGATTATAAACCATTTTAAACCATGAGTCCCACATCAAGGCTTTCACCAAGGCCTCTTATCCTTTGGGAAATAAAAGCAGGAAAAAACAAAAAATACATAAATGTCCTTGCCACTTTGGCCTGAAGGTTGTGTTACAAAATAACAGTAAGAGTCATGAAACTCTGTGGTCTGTACTGAATTTGAGGGTTGTTTGGGAGGAAAAGTCCCTTAAAAGCCAGGTACTGACCACAACAAACACACAGCATCACATTTCGGCCCCGTCATCGTGGTGAGGCACCGGGTAAGGGTGGTGGACTGTAGTTTGCAGTGATGGAAAACCCCAAGACTCACGAATTTCTTTGTGGTTATCCGCACACATACTCTTGGGGGCTGATAAGAAACCAAGAAGGCAAAAATACCACATATTGTGAATTCAGAATCTTCCCAGTGATAAGCCTATGAAAAGGCCATAGGAAAAAAAAAAGATTAAACTTACACAACCTTTTATTTCCTGGGAAAAAGTTGGTTCATTTACAAAAACTGGCAAAGGAGACTGTGTGAATAGTAACTGTCTATTT